TAAAAAGTACAATCAATCAGTTCCAACTTTGCAAGATTTTTTTTTTTCCCCAAGAAGTTGAAATTGACTGATTGATTGAACCTTTTTTTTTTTGTACATGGCGGTGGAGGCCTAAAGCAAAAAGATTTTATAAACTCAGCTGAAGGCCTAGGACGGGGGCGACGGTGCGCGTGCCCTCTGGCACCCATGCTATAGGTTCGCCACCACTGGTCTAGGGTCATCGTAGAGTTGGAAACACTTCTTAGCTGAGAAACATTTTCCAAATGACCTCCTGGAGGAGGCCATGTGAACATCAAAGTTATTCCAAGGAGAGGGACTACAGCTTGTAGACTCACCTCCCCTTAACATCTTCTGGGAACATCTTTCTACTTGCAGTAGAATTATCCCAGCAAGGATGTGGCTTCCCAATAGTCTTCAAGGGCAGCCCCACATAGAGCATGACCAAAGCCTGTTAATCTGGGCATAACAGACCAATGGGATTCCTCTCCTGCAAAGTGGAAGTTGAGGAGCTTTTGACCATTCCGAAATTTATGGGAGCCTAGTTCCACCTCAGGACTGGATCTGAAAGGCTGCCTGGCCTCTGATTTTCCTTCCTCCACCACTACAAGGAATTAGACCTTGCCTCAGTTTCCCCCTTCCTGTCAACGCTGCTAACATCGGATGTTTTTGCTTTGACAACAGTGGGAGATGCAACCATTTTCTTCTTATGTTTTACTCTTAGAGTTAGATGACGCTAGGGGGAGAAATGTGCATGAGAGTCTTAGCTTGACATAACAATACTGGACCTAGTGTGTGAACCAAGGTCATTGAAATAAGAGATGATAAGAATTGGCTGGGCTGGAGAGCTGGAGGGAAAGCCTGCATTTCAAACTAATTGGAGAATGTGATTTATGATGTTAATTGGAGGAGGGAATTGTGCTTTGATACTATGGGCTCAGGGGAGGGGAATTCAGGTTTTGGCTTCGATTATGTTAGTGCCGACGCTATGCTTCTCTAATAAAGATTCTTTAAGGTAAACAATGCCTCAAAGTTCTTCAAAGAGTTTCATCTATCGGAACCATGACACTTCTGTTTCTGGGTACAAGGCTCCTCCCCATCACTCAGACAGTCAACTGCCCCTGTTCCTTTTAATCCAGAGGAACAGCTTGCCTCCAGAAGTTGTGGGTGCTCCAACACCGGAGGTGTTTAGGAAAAGATTAGAGAGCCATTTGTCTGGAATGGTGTAGGTTCTCCTGCTTGAACAACGGGTTGGACTAGAAGACCTCCAAGGTCCCTTTCAACTCTGCTATTCTGTTATTGAAGGTAATGTTGCTAGCATGCCTGGGTTGTTTGGTCTCTGCACTTGGCAACTTCCCAACTGCCAAATCGGATGGCGGATCCCGTGTTTCTCTTTTCCTTTCTCCCCCTGCTTGCAAACATTGCAGCAGGGGTAGTCAACCTTGGCTCTTTTATGACTCATGGACTTCAACTCCCAAAATTCCTGAGCCAGCATGGCTCAGTTTGGAAACCTCTCCCTTTCCCTCAGCATGGCTGGCTCAGGAATTCTGGAAGTTGAAGTCCACAAGTCATAAAAGGGCCAAGTTTGAAGACCCCTACCCTAGGCCAAGAGTCTAGACCAGGGGTAGGCAACCTTGGCTCTTTTATGACTCGTGGACTTCAACTCCCAGAATTCCTGAGCCAGCCTGGCTCAGCTTGGAAACCTCTCCATTTCTCCTCAGCATGGCTGGCTCAAGAATTCTGGGAGTTGAAGTTCATGAGTCATAAAAGAGCCAAGGTTGACTACCCCTGTATTACAGCATCCAAATACCTTTAGACTCCAGCTTCTATTTTTAGCAAAAGGGGGAAGCCCCACATATCCTCCAGAGCTCCCTTCTTCCTCCTCCGGAAAAAAAACCAGTTTTCCCCCTTTCTTTTGTCTCCTTATTTCTCTCTCTTTTTGCACTCCCCACCTGTTTCTCTTGACGGGAAATCAGGGAGCTTTTATCCGTAATCCAGTTCAATCGCCATCAAAGCAGATCGTTATTTCCCCGAATGTGATTGAAGTAAGGAAGATCCCCTCCGGATATGGTAGCCGTGGTGCAGGATTTCACTGAGTTAAAGATTCCTCTTCGAGGTAATGATGGGCCTTGCTCACTTCTTCCCGGCAGTGTGTCTGTGCAAAGCTTTGAGAAATAACGTGAGCCAACACTTTCCCACCAGATGGGATGTCTTCGTGATAAGTGAGGTACCAAACTGTGGCCAAAGTGAGGGGGGAGCAGGTAGGATGAGGTGGAATTGCTTGCAGCAAATTTTGTGGGTTTAAAAATGTGATGTTTGGCATCCTTGGGCAAAGCATTTTCATTTGCTGTCAGAAATAGTCAATTTACTGGGGAAAATTAGAATAGAATAGAATAGAATAGAATAGAATAGAATAGAATAGAATAGAATAGAATAGAATGATGATGATGATGATGATGATGATGATGATGATGATGATAATAATAATAATAATAATCCCAAAACAACTGGAGCACCACTTGAACACCATTGGCATTGACAAATTCGCTATTAGTCAATTGCAAAAGGCGACCTTATTAGGAACTGCTTCCATCCAGCGACGATATCTGTAATACCATCAAACATCCACATCTGCCTATCCCAGGTCCTGGGTAAGGACTCGATAGGTAGATGTCCAGTCTGAACATCTGGCTGACTGTGCGATGATCCATAATAATAATAATAATAAAGTTGGAAGGCACCTTAGAGGTGCTCAGGCAGGAAACCCTACACCATTTTGGACTGTCCAGTCCAGTCTCTTCTTAAAATTTCCAGTGTTGGAGCATTCACCACTTCTTGAGTCAGGTTGTTCCATTGGTTAATTGTTCTAACTGTCAGGAAGTTTCTCCTTGGTTCTAGGTTGCTTCTCTCCTTGATTAATTTCCATCCGTTGCTTCTTGTCCTGCCTTCAGGCGCCTTGGAGACTAGCTTGGCTCCCTCTTCTTTGGGGTAGCCCCTAAGATATTGGAGCACTGCTATCATGTCCCCCCTCACCCTTCTCTTCATTAAACTAGACATTCTTAATTCCAGCAACCATTCCTTATATGTCTTAGCCTCCAGTCCCCTAATCATCTTTGTTGCTCTTCTCTGTACTCTTTCGAGAGTCTCAACATCTTTTTTACACTGTGGTGACCACAAATGGATGCAGTATTCCAAGTGTGGCCTTACCAAGGCCTTGTAAAGTGGTATTAACACTTCACGTGATCTTGATTCTATCCCTCTGTTAATGCAGCCCAGCACTGTGTTGGCTTTTTTGGCAGCTGCAACACACGGCTGGCTCATTAGAATAGAATAGAATAGAATAGAATAGAATAGAATAGAATAGAATAGAATAGAATAGAATAGAATAGAATAGAATAGAATAGAATAGAATAGAATAGAATATATGGAGTAAAGTGGAGTGGAGTGGAGTGGAGTGGAGTGGAGTGGAGTGGAGTGGAGTGGAGAGGAGTGGAATGGAATGGAATGGAATAGACTAGACTAGACTAGACTAGACTAGACTAGACTAGACTAGACTAGACTAGAACAGAACAGAACAGAACAGAATAGAATAGAATAGAATAGAATAGAAGGACCTTGGAGGTCTTCTAGTCCAGCCCCCTGCTTGAGCAGGAGAACCTATACCATTTCAGATAAGTGATTGTCTATCATGTCACCCCTATGTCTTCTTTTCTTTAGACTATCCAAACCCAAGTCCTGCAGCTGTTCTTCATATATTTTAGCCTGCAGGCCTTTGGTAATCTTAGTTGCTCTTCTCTGAACTTTTTCCAAAGTCTCAAGATCTTTTTTGTAGTGTGGTGCCCAATAGTATGGTTTTTCCATTCCCATTTCTGTTGCTAAGTAAGGTGGGAGTTATACGAGTAACTCTGAACAGTCACTAAATGAATCGTCCTAAGTCATTTGCATTTGCACCACAATCCACCAATATTTCCACCGGGATATTTATGGCTTACACAATTATAGTGTTTTTATTTATTTATCCAATTTATATGGATGCCATCTCACAAGAATAGACTCCGATCCCTTCTCCCCCTCCAAAGCTAAGCCGGTTAAAACTATTGTTGTTTGTTGCCTGAAGTCTTCCCCTAGTTTGTGATGGGTTAACCATGTTGTATGAACCCCGTCAGTGATTTCTCTGTACCGGCTAAAAACCTACAATTCGGACAAAACGTCTCTTTGCCTCCATGAGCATTTTCAAACATTCCAAATTCTTAACGATGGGATGTTTTCTCCCTGACCTCTTTTGGCAGAGAGAACAAAGATAACCATCTCCTTCAAATCTCTTTCTCCAGCCCAATTTCTGAAGAGAGCTTGGAAAGAACCACATGCTCCCTAGATCACTTCTCCCAACCACTTCTCCACTCAAGTACCCATTATTATTATTTAAAGTCAACATGCTACCTCTTGTTATTTCTACTCAATCCTCCCTAATCGCTTGATCCAAACAGATGTCCCTAAGTATGGAGCCAAATGCTTTATGTCTACCGTATAGAAGTGGAAGGTGGTATGATACACTTTACAATAATTCCTAAGCGTTGTAGAATGGAAGACTGACTTTATGGTTTCTCTCTGCAACTTTGCAAGCTAGGGTTTGTGAGACAAACCGTATCTGAACATTCATGGTGTTTCTGGGGAAAGTGAGAAAACATCCTTGGATGGGGTATCCAAAGTCCATGGAGAAACGTGACCATCCCTTCCGCTGCAGTTTTTCTCCTTCTGATGTAGTTCTAGGTTTGGTTGCCAATTGGTGATTGGTCATGACCGTATTCTTACATCCACTGGCCTATATCACGATGTAGATCCAGTAGACGGAAAAACATATTTTCAAAACATTTCTTTGGAAAACGGCGGTCTGCTCTGGGGTGGTGAAAAGGTCCAGAGTTGTGCAGTCAATGACTTTATGTCCCATACTTTATTTAATATCAAGGTGGTCACCTGCAAATCTTTTTTTTTTCCACTTTCAGGGAGACGTCCAACCTCTCCCCCATCTCAAAAAATGGGGACTATTGAAATAAAACCCAGTCTTCTTGTTGGCCTTTTGTTCACTTTGACACTTTTGTGGCACAAGGCAGGTAAGTTAATTTAATTTTGTTTTCCATCAGCTGGTTCCCTGAAACAGAACAAATTTCAGCACCATCTCCAGAAGTGTTACCACCATCATCCCCTGAAGGGGTTGCCGAGAGTGACATCCCACTGATGTCATCCAGATCCTTCTGAAGAAGCCCATGCAGAATATGGGAATAATTGTTCTGTGTTTTTTCTCAGTCTTCAATACTACTCTTTGCATGAGTTTCTCTTTCAACCCTCTCCATCTTTCTTTTTTAATTATTATTAAATAATCCTAAGGATGTTAGCTTTCCCTGCTAGGGAAGAGAAAGGAAGGTTAACATACTTACAATATTTAATAATAATATTTAAAAGAAAAAAGAGATATGTTATTGTATGGAGAAGATGGATAGAATATGTTCAGAAGAAATATGGAACTATAAAGTTTCATTTATTTTATGAGTAATGGATTTGTTTATAAAATTATGATGTTAAAGTTTGAAGAGGGTTAAGGGTTAGTATGATTTTGGTTATTGTATAAACTTAAATAGATTATGTTTAATATGTTTGTATAACCCTGTACTTGGCTCTGGGAAGTCAGGTGGGGAGGGGGGTGGGGGGGAATGGGTTGAAGGTTAAATAGCTCAGATAAGTAGAAATAGTTTCATTTTTTATAATATTATGTTTTATTTTGGAAAGAGGAATTGCTCCGGCATTTCTCCTGGACTGCATCCGGACTGAGAAGATAGGAGGAAGGGGAGAAGTAAGTAGGAAGGTTGAGGAGAAGGAGGAGAGGGGGAGAGTGAAGAAGAGGGAAAGAGGGAAGTGAGAGAAGAGGTTAGAGGGTGGATGCGGTTTGGGGGGAAATGGGCGAGCAATACCGAAAGTTATGTCTATAAATTTATTTTACTCTTTATCTGAAGTATTTTTTATGATGTAATGTAAAATTGAAAATAAAATTTTTTTACAAAAAAAATAATAATAATATTTAAAAGAAAAAAAGATGACGATTAAAAAAAACCTGTTCAATCCCATAAATACTTAATGTGCCTTTTTGGAGGATCTGAATTAGAGACTATAAGACCACATTTGATCTGAATAGTAATCTCACGATGTCCAGGATGAGATCTGTTTGGATGTTGGCTGAAGTGATATTTAATTAGATGGAGGATCAAAAACAGTAGGTCAAGTTTTCCATCCATTAGCATGGAGATGTAGGGGAAAGATATAACCTAACTAGAAACAGTCTTGGTTCTTTCAAGAGGCATTATGGTTGCCTCTTGGCAGTCCCCACTGAGCAGAATACGGTTTGAAAGATACTCACTTGAAGTAATGATTCAGGAGCCAAACCTTTTTAAACAAAAGGGACTTTTGCTATTGGATGTTCAGTATTGATTCCACTGGCCCTGATTTTCACTGGAATTCAACTTTGTCCTCAATCATCCTATTTTTCAAAAATGCATTCTTCCTTGCCTACTTTATTTCCAGGTGCCCAAGAAAATATACGTTGGGAAATTCAACGTTATGATGGCTGGTACAACAACCTCATGTATCATAAACACAACTCAGCAGGTGAGAAAACATGCAACTGATCCTCTAAATCAGGGCTTTTCAAACAGTGGTACGGGTACCACCTGTGGTACATTGGCAGCTGGCAGATGGTACGTGACCATCCTAGAAAAGGGGTAGCAGGGGAGGGGAATGAGCTGAACCGGTGGCAGCACCGCACAAGCCTGAGCGAGAGATGGCTGGAGCTGCAGGGCTGTCAGGGCTCTGCGGAAGCACCAGGATCAGTGCCGCTTTTCAGCTCATCGGCGCTTCTTTGGGGCTGTCAGGGCTCAGCGGAAGTGCCAGTTGGAGCTCGGCGCTGATCCTGGAGCTTCTGCTGAGCCCAGAAGAAGCACCGATCAACTGGAAAGCAGCACTGATCCTAGAGCTTCCGCTGAGCCCAAAAAAAGCGCCGATCAGCTGGAATGTTGTAGCATCTCCAGGGTCTTGTGATTTACCTTCAGATGCTTGGCAACTGATTCATACTTATGATGGTCACAGTGTCCCAGGGTCATGTGAAGTGACCAAAACCTGCTGCAACCACCCAGCAGATGGGGGGAATAAAAACCAAACACCCCCCCCCACCCCATCCCCTGATACCAATCCTCAACAGAAATGCTCACAACAATGAAAACCTCGGACAGGAGGAAGAGCGCCACCGGGCGGGCAGGCAGGCGTCTTGCTCGGCTGTGGCTTGGGGGCACTTTTTTCAGGGCCATTGTAACTTCAAACAGTCACTAAGTGAACTGTTGTAAGTCGAGGACTACCTGTACTTCCTCACTTTTTTCCTTTTTTTTTTTTTTTTGGTCATCAAGTTTTTAACACCTTGCTAGGCGACTGGTGGTACTCGGATGTTGCCATATCCTAAAAGTGGTACAATGGGTGAAAAGGTTGAAAAGCCCTGCTCTAAATGTCCAACCTAGAAGGAACGATTGGTTATTTAAAGCTGAAGTCCTCAACTTGAGTTATGGACCTTAGTGGGCATCTTTTTCTCCAGAGAGCCTTGTTTTTGCATAAGGTGTCCAAAGTAAGATAGTTTGAGCCTGGTCATTTGTGCCTTGAGTGAGAACTAAATTCAATGATCCATAAATGTGTTTTCTTGACTGTCCAAAGTAGTCTCAAGGAACTTCTCGTGATCTTTCTGCCATATTTTGCCCCATTCCCACCTCCTCTGAGTGACATGCTGATTTCTTCCCCGTAGGTTCACGGTTATCACGTCTACTTCCTGCTAATTATGCAGATGGGGTATACCAGGCCCTGCAAGAACCTCATGTACCCAATGCCCGCAGGCTTAGCAATGTGGTGGCCCAGGGGGATTCAGACCAACTTTCTCAGAAAAATAGAACGGTGCTTGGAGTCTTCTTTGGTAAGCAGCCATCTTTTGACCCAGACATTCCCTCCTGTCTTTGACCCCTTTCTGGAAGAGAAAGGATTTGCTAAGCGTGTTTCCACCAACTGAAACATCAATCGTGATCTTGGATCTTAAAAGAAGGTCACACCTGCTTGTGGACTTCTCAGGAACTCTTTCTGATGGGGAAAGAGGTAAAATCAATGCCACGTTATTTTCTCCAACTGTAATGATTCAGATTATTTTCCACCTGAACTCACTTCTGGAGAAATCCTTTAAGCTTAAAAAAAAAATGCAGCTTGAAAAAAAAAATCACAAATTCCGTATTTTCAAGCAAAGGATACGAGAACATAAAAAGAAATCTTTTGGTGCATCAAAATCCTGTTTGAAAGGAGACCCTGAAGAGTTCAAAGCACTTGGACCACATGGGGCAGAAATACAGCACAGAACGGAACTGAATTCTGCCCGCAAGCCAGATAAAACTAAAATCTGTTCTCTCTGGATTTACCCAGAAGTCAACTCCTTCCTCCAGCATTATGCAAATCTGTGCAGTCTTTAAACCTTTATACTGTTAGTTCTATTAGTCTGATTTCTTCATTCTAATTTTCAGCCCAGAAGTGAGATGACTTTTAAGCCTTGTTGCATATGTTGATGCTTTTCTTCTGTTTTGGTTTCAGCCTTCTGCTTTCCCCATAGAGTCACTGTTGTGAGAGGAGCAGTTGTATAAATTGTTGTGTAGATAAAGAAAGAATTCCATGGGCTGGCCCAACACAACACGCTGAGCGTGAAAAAGGCCAGTCAAGATTAAATTAGCCAAGTTTTGAATGTTTGCAGACACACCCAAGAGATTTGCAAAAGACCTGTTTAAGTATGCTGCGTGTACTAGGTATACTAATATGTAAACACATACACCAAAACATACACAAACTTATTCAAAGCACTGGTCTAATATTTTTTTTTCTTGGTGTTTACTAAAAATTTCTTGCTTTACTGGGCCTTCCTTCCTTCCTTCCTTCCTTCCTTCCTTCCTTTCTTTCTTTTTCTTTCTTTCTTTCTTTCTTTCTTTCTTTCTTTCTTTCTTTCTTTCTTCTTTCTTTCTTTCTTCCTTTCTCTAACTTTCTTGGTTTGGGGTACCTGGCAGGCTTCCACGTGCTGGCCGAGATTTCAGAAGCCAACAATCCGGGCTGCCCAGCTGAATTCCTCAACCTGCAGATCCCTCCAGGAGACCCTGTCTTTGACCCCAGCAATTCTCAAGAGGTTGTCCTGCCTTTCCAGCGGATGAGTTGGGCTGCAGGAACAGGACGAAGCCCCAACAATCCCCGGGAGATGGTAAAAATGTCTTTGCTATTTGGGCTACGTCTCTCCCTCTGAAGGTAGAATTCCAGGGGGAAAGGCAGGAATTGGGTGCGGTATCTATGATAGCACTTCATGGGAGATTGAGCCAAATTCTGTCTCCCGACAGGTGGAATGCTCAAGATTTATTTGTTTGGCTGTTTTCTCTGGAATAGATTTTTTTAAAAAAAAAAACTATGACTCAAGGACCACACCTACATTTAAGGCAATAGAAAAGGCAGATGGGGCTGAAATGAGTCAAACAGTCGCCATAGTAACTTTTGCAATCTACTATTTTCTGGATCTGCATTTCTCAATTTTGGCAACCTTGATGTCAACACTGCTAACATCGGAGGTTCTTGCTTTGACAACATTGGAGATGCAACCATTTTCCTTCTTATATTTTAGAATTAGAGTTAGAATTAGATGATACTGGGAGAGGGGAGGAGGAGGACTGTGCACGGGAGTTTAGTTAGACATAACAATACTAGACCTAGTGTGTGAACCAAGGTTATTGAAATAAGAGATGATAAGAATTTCAGGCTGGAGAGCTGGAGGGAAAGTCTGCATTTCAAACTAATTGGAGAATGTGATTTATGACTCTTAATTAAAGGAGGGAATTGTGCTTTGATACTATGGGCTCAGGGGAGGGGAATTCATATTTCATCTTTGACTATGTAAGTGCCGAAGTTATGCTTCTGGATTAAAGATTCTTTAAGGTAAACAATGCCTCGAAGTTCTTTGAAGAGTTTCATCTGTCGGAACCATGACACTTAAGATGTGTGGATTTCAACTCTCAAAACATTAAGTGTGTTGCAATCTAACAGGAGCAGATGTAAGGACACTTACAGGTGGCCCTTGACTTACAACCCTTTGTTTAGCGATTGGTTGAAGTTACAACAGCACTGGAAAAAAGGGCCTTACGATGGGTACATGCACTAAGGGAGCAGGATCACACGATCACCATTTGCAAGCTTCCCAGCTGGTTTTTGACAAGCAAAATCAATGGGAAGCCAGTTTGGCTTCATGATGACATAATTGACTTCGCAACTGCAGTGATTTGCTTAACAATGATGGGAAAAAATGCATCACAAAATCGGCCACAACTCTCTTAGCAATTGCCTGGCTTAGCCATGGAAATTCTGGTCCCAGTTATAATCATAAGTCAAGGATTATCTGTAGCTGGAAAAAAAATGGAGTACAAGCCCAGAGATAAATATTTCAGCATCACCTTTAGGTTCCAACAATGCTTTTCTGAAAGGCAACTGGATTTCCTCGGGTTTTTGTTTTCTTTGAAAACATTTTGTTTCCCATCCAAGACGGATGCAATCCAGCTGGTTAGAATGGAAGAAGCTTCTTGGATGAGAAGCAAAATGTTTTCAAGGGAAAACAAAAAAACAAAGTCCATCTGGTTTTTGGAAAAGTACCTTTGGGACAACCATGACCTAAATTATTGAGCATCTCCATAGACATGAGGTCCAAATTTACTGAGCTTTGACTATCCGGTGTGAAGTTGCTATCTTGAGACAGCTTATTACAGGGGGTCTTCAAACTTGGCCCTTTTATGACTTGTGGACTTCAACTCCTGGCTGAGGAATTCTGTGAGTTGAAGTCCACAAGTCACAAAAGGGCCAAGTTTGAAGACCCCTGCCTTATCAACTGATGCAATCCAAGCAGTTCAGAGACTGAACAGGAGTTAACGGTTCTCCTTGCTCTCTCCATCCCATCTTCCTTTTTGTTCTCCGACAGATAAATGGGGTGACTGGCTGGTTAGATGGAAGTGCCATCTACGGCTCTTCACATGCCTGGAGCGATTCTCTAAGGAGTTTCTCCCAAGGAATGTTACTTTCTGGAAAGAAACGTGGCTTCCCAAAGCAAACGGAAGAGAACAGCTTAATGTGGAAGGCTCTCGACCCAGCTACAGGGAAGGGTGGACCCCAAGGCATCTTCGGTAAGCAAGTCTGGGATCATCCTTTGCTCTTCAAGAGGCTGAGAGAGAGAGACAGAGACAGAGACAGAGAGAGAGGGAGAAAAAGAGAGAGAGTGAGACACGGAGAGAGACAGAGACACAGAGAGAAACAGAGAGAGAGAGAGAGAGAGAGAGAGAGAGAGAGAGAGAGAGAGAGAGAGAGAGAGATGGGCGGAACCCAAGAGTATTTTTTTTCAGGTCTTTGTTCAGTTTTCTGCCAACAATAATAGTGGAAAGTTGGGTGTGTATTTGAGGATTCTAGAATGTCTGGAGGTGACTAGCAACTCAACTATGTGGTGCTAGAGCTTCCTTGATAGGGGATGATCTCTGAGTATATTCTTCCATCTCTATCTTGTCCTTTCACGAAGGGAAGACATCTGGAGGTCAACACAAAGTACAGTGGTCTTTTCCTATTACATTTTTGCAGAATATGATATCATCTTCATTATTTTTATCACGTCTTCTCTGATATCTGGCCATTAGGATTCACCTTGTTTTTACAGGTCTCTTAGGTTCCTTTTAATGATTCCTCCTCCCCTTCTCCTCTCCTCTCCTCCTTCTATCCTCCTCCTCCCCTCCTCCTCCTCTCCTCCTTCTATCCTCCCCTCCTCCTCCTCTCCTCCTTCTATCCTCCTCCTCCCCTCCTCTTCCTTTCCTCCTCCTCCTTCTCCCCTCCTCCTCCTCGTCCTCCTCCTCCTCCCCTTCCTCCTTTCCTCCTCCTCCTCCTCCTTCTATTCTCCTCTTTCCATCCTCATCCTCCTCCCCTCCTCCTTCTCCTCTCCTCTCCTCCTCCTCCTCCTCTCCTCTCCTCCTTCTATCCTCCTCCTCCCCTCCTCTTCCTTTCCTCCTCCTCCTCCTTCCCTCCTACTCCTTCCATCCTCCTCCTCCTCCTCCCTTCCTCGTCCTCCTTCTATCCTCTCTGCCTCCTTTCCTCCTCCTCCCCCTTCCTCCTCCTTCCTCCTCTTCCTTCTCTCCTCCTCCTTCTCTCCTCCTCCTTCTCCCCTCCTTCCTCCCCCCTTCTTCCTCCCCCTCCTCTCCTCCCTCTCTCTCCTTTTTTTTCCCCAAAACAATTTTTATTAGTTTTTCATTTTACACCAACACAGCTTAAGAACCCACGTGGAAACATGGTGATCCATTTTTTAAAAAACAAACAATAACATAGTAAATATGTACCCATTATTTCATTAAAATTTCCCTCTCTGCCTATATAGAATATTATAATCAAATGAATACATTTTCAAATGAATTCATTCATTACTATGTCTAACCATCAACTGCATTAATCAATCAAAAAAATTTTAATCTATACAAACCTATATTTCTTCTCACATTTAAACTTAAGAACTCCATTTATTTAAAAACATTATAATCAAGTCAATGTCTTTCTAAAACCTCCTCCTCTCTTCTCCTCCTCCTTCTCTTCTTTTTTCTCCCTCCCCTCCCAGATTTTGGAAATGCCAGAGGAAATGAAAACATCTTCCTCCAAGCCGTGAGTATCGTGTGGTTCCGCTATCACAACCACTGGGCAGAGAAACTGGCCCAGCAGAACCCCGGCTGGTCGGATGAGGACTTATTCCAACATGCTCGCAAGAGAGTCATTGCCGTTTACCAGGTAGGGAGAGGATGGAACAGGCCGAAAAAGAGAAGCAATCACACTCATTTCATTTTACAGTGTTTTGTGATCTTCTCGTTATTCTCCTAGAATGTCGTGTTTTACAAGTGGCTGCCCATCTTTTTGGAGAAGACGAGCCTCAGACCTTATGAAGGTGAGGAACATCAACAGAACAGATGCCAGGTGGAGAAAGACAGGAGAGCTGCAGTGGCTGCATAAAGGAAGATAAAGGGTCTTCTTGTGAATAGAAAGAACTGCCTTAGCCACATTTCTCCTCATTTTATAATGTTATGTAGAGAAGGCTGGACTCCATTATCATTTCTCAGCCTGTATATATGGGTAGTTATCCAGGTTTTCCCTGGCAGGGGAATGCTAAATTGCATTTGCTTTCTCAGTTCTTCCATTTAAAACTCAATACATCACAGGGAGTTTTAAGGCACTCTCTCCTGTACATCTTCTTAGCTTCAGTAAAAAAATCTTCTGCTAAAGGATTTCTTGCTCTACTCTCTGTGTTGTAGGTTACAAGCAGCATGTGGATTCTCGGATCTCTCCGGAATTCCTTGTGGCTTCTGCACTCTTCCTTGGCACTAAAGTCCCATCTGGAGTCTATATGAGGTAAGAAAAGTAGTTTTAAAAAAAAGAATACTAGTGAAGTCAGTATTGAGATTGATTTATTTATTTTATTTTATTTTTAAAATTTATAAGCCGCCCCACTCCCGCAGGACTCTGGGCGGCTAACAATAAAAACACATAAAACATAACAAAACGAACAGCACAAGAACAGTCATCCAGGAGTCAGATTTTATAAACCCCAGGCCTGCCGGAAAAGCCAGGTCTTAAGCATCTTACGGAAAACCAACAGGGTGGGAGCGGTCCTAATCTCCGGGGGGAGCTGGTTCCAAGAGGTGGGCGCCATCACAGAGAAAGCCCTCCCCCGCGGCCCCGCCAAATGGCACTGCTTGGCCGACGGGACCTGAATGAGTCCCAGCCTGTGGGATCTAACCGGACAAAGGGAACTATGAGGTAGTAGGCGGTCTCGCAAATATGACTATAACTTCAGTATTTAAGATGAAAGAAAGGGAGGGAGGGAGGGAGGGAGGAAGGAAGGAAGGAAGGAAGGAAGGAAGGAAGGAAGGAAGGAAGGAAGGAAGGAAGGAAGGAAGGAGAGACAAGGGAGAGAAGAGAGATGGATGGATGGATGGATGGATGGATGGATGGATGGATGGATGGAAAAAGTAGAAGGAGAAGGGGAAAGGGAAGGAAGGGGAAGGAGAGACAAGGGAGAGTAGAGAGATGGAAGGAAGGAAGGAAGGAAGGAAGGAAGGAAGGAAGGAAGGAAGGAGAGACAAGGGAGAGAAGAGAGATGGAAGGAAGGAAGGAAGGAAGGAAGGAAGGAAGGAAGGAAGGAAGGAAGGAAGGAAGGAAGGAAGGAAGGAAGGAAGGAGAGACAAGGGAGAGAAGAGAGATGGATGGATGGATGGATGGATGGATGGAGGAAGGAAGGAAGGAAGGGGAGGGGGACAGGGAAGGGGGAGGGAGGGGGAGGAAAGAAGGGGAGAGACAGGGAAGGGGGAGGGAGGGGGAGGAAAGAAGGAGAGACAAGAGAGAGAAGAGAGATGGAAGGAAGGAAGGAAGGAAGGAAGGAAGGAAGGAAGGAAGGAAGGAAGGAAGGAAGGAAGGAGAGACAAGGGATGGATGGATGGATGGATGGATGGATGGAAGGAAGGAAGGAAGGAAGGAAGGAAGGAAGGAAGGAAGGAAGGAGAAGGGGACAGGGAAGGGGAAGAGAGGGAGGGAGGGGGAGGAAGGAAGGAGAGACAAGAGAGAGAAGAGAGATGGAAAGAAGGAAGGAAGGAAGGAAGGAGACAAGGGAGACGGTCTTTGCAGATGGAATATTATTAGTATTATATATCTCATACAACATCGGTGTCTCTTCCCCTCTTGCTGTCTTTTGTCAAAGGAAGTAGGCAGTATATTGACCCCCACACAGAGAACCCTACTCATCTCATTTAAAAAAAAAATCTTTTCAGGAATTCAGATTGTTCTCCCCGAAATGTGACTGACATAAATGGACAGCTCTCTCCAGCCCTCCGCCTATGCAACAACTACTGGAGCCGGCAGGTAAGGAGCTTCAGAGCCATACAAGAGCAATTAAACATAGATTCCTAGCTGAAGGCACTCAAGAGACAGAGATTACAAGGAAATGTCTTGGAGACATGGAATCGGGGTGTCCTGTCACGTGAAAAAAATATAACTCAAAACATAACCCAGGTAGAGCTCTTGAGTTGCATGCAATAGTCCCACATTTCAGCCTTCAGCATCTCCAGGTAGGGCTGAACAGGTCACCTGGCAGAGGTCCTGGACAGCCTTCATCAATTTAGAAATGTTAGACTAGGTTATTGGTGTCCTGCTTCGTTGCAAGACATCTTGTTCTACCTCTAGTTCAGTTGGTGTTTTCACAAAGGTGGGTGCCATTCCCAGGAACCCAGGACATTTAAGCGGTTCCTATCACTGTGAGCATTGCTCCCAAGATCAGATTTAGTGCTGATGGGCATCTTGGAACTGACCAGGTAAACTTTGCAATTGACATGTAGCTCAGGCTAAGTCTTTTTTGTTTTGGTCAGAATCCTAACATCCAGACAGCCGAAGATGTAGATGATCTTCTTCTGGGAATGAGTTCTCAAATTACCAAGAAAGGAGACAACACCGTGGTCGAAGATCTCCGAGGTATATCTTTTCATCCATTTGTTGGTTCTTCCTTTTGATGGCTCCCCAATAATTGCAGGAGGTTTCATTCCTTTGGCAGAGCTGAGGGAGGTGAAAAAGTTGGGGTGAACTGTCTTTGCTTCCTGCTTTTTTTGGGGGGGGGGCTTTCAGTTAATTGGTTGGCTTTTCTCGGTTATGATTCCTTTGTTCTTCATGTGGACGTTCTTCCATTTTGCCCCACTGTGGATGTTCTGTCTTGTTCTTCTTAAGATTACTGGTACGGGACGGTGAAGTACTCTCGAATGGATTTCGTGGCGAGTTGGATCCAGCGAGGAAGAGATCTTGGACTATCTACCTATAATAAAGCCAGAGAGTTCTTTGGACTTCCGCCTGCTAAAAACTGGACAGATATTAAGCAGATGAACCAAACGGTACCATGTCACAAGAGCTAAAATGGACATGAGGTGGGATGGAAGGCAGACAGAAAATAAGCACCATCTTGTCCGTTGATGGCAGGCCTACCATGACTTCCCCTTAAAGCTTAAACAGAAGCTCAAAAGGAGAAGCTTTGCTTTACATATGAGAACAATGCTTGACTTTAGTCTAAGCCAGGAGTAGGCAACCTTGGCTCTTTTATGACTCGTGGACTTCAACTCCCAGAATTCCTGAGCCAGCATAGCTCAGCTTGGAAACCTCTCCCTTTCCCCTCAGGAATTCTGGGAGTTGAAGTCCACGAGTCATAAAGTGGCCTAGGCCTAGAGCAGGGGTAGGCAACCTTGGCTCTTTTATGACTTGTGGACTTCAACTCCCAGAATTCCTGAGCCAGCCATGCTGAGGGGAAAGGGGGAGGTTTCCAAGCTGAGCCATGCTGGTTCAGGAACTCTGGGAGTTGAAGTCCACGAGTCATAAAAGAGCCAAGGTTGCCTACCCCTGGGCTAAGCTCTGTGTACCATCCGCCACTCCATGTAGGAAAAAAAAGCCCATTGTGCTACTGCATATTGCTCATTAAACCAATTGTGGGAAGATTGTGCTACACAATGGATATACGATAACAGAAGTGAATATCTGAAGCTCAGGGTTAAACTGTGGGGTCCTTGATGCTCTCTGAGCTTGGTGGTTTTCTTCAGGACATTTGATTACCCAACGAGGTAATATCATAGCAGGGCTTCAAAATCTAAGAGACTGGTTTGGACAAAACTCAGCAGCACTTTTTCGTGCGGCTGCTGATAAAAACAGGATCGTCAACATGATCGCCAATGTCCGATAATGGATATGTCAGAAGAAGAAGAAGAAGAAGAAGAAGAAGAAGAAGAAGAAGAAGAAGAAGAAGAAGAAGAAGAAGAAGAAGAAGAAGAAGAAGAAGAAGAAGAAGAAGAAGAAGAAGAAGAAGAAGAGAAGAAGAAGAAGAAGAAGAAGAAGAAGAAGAAGAAGAAGAAGAAGAAGAAGAAGAAGAAGAAGAAGAAGAAGAAGAAGAAGAAGAAGAAGAAGAAGAAGAAGATGATATTACCTAGTTGGGTAATGAAATGTCTGGAAAAAAACCACCAAGCTCAGAGAGCACCAAGCACCCTACAATAGACATATGCAAAACTTTGACCTAACACCACATACATCTTGATCCTTTTTCAGTCCCTCACCAGCTTAACTTAGGCTCATCCTATTTTGACCCCTGCCACGTGCATTTATAACACGTGAACTCTTCCAATGGATACAGACTTCAGTAGAAAAGAGTTCTCACTCTAATTTATGTTCCTTAAAATTCTCAGTAGGTAGGAAATAGAAGCTAATAAAGCTTGGTCTTCTTCTCTGTCTTCTATTGGAAATAATGGGGGAGGGTGTTCCAGTTCAAAGAGCAAAAGCAGTGGGGATAATCTGAACCAAATCAAAGCTCTGAAATCTACTAATTAGCAATAGCATTTAGATGTATATACCACCCTAGAGCATTTTATAGTACTCTCTGGGTATTACACTGTCAGAGTTATTTGCATATTGCCCCCAATAATGTGGCTCTTCATTTTAGCAACCTTAGAAGGATGGAAGGATAAATCAACCCTGAGCTGGTCAGGCTCGGACTCCAGGTTGTAGGCCAGTGGTGACGAACCTATGGCACTGGTGCCAGAGGCGGCACTCAGAGCCCTCTCTGTGGGCACGCGCGCCTTCGCCCCACTCCTAGGCCTTCAGCTGGGTTTTATAAAACTTTTTCACTTTAGGCCTCCAGCGCCGTGTACAAAAAAAAAAAGGTTCAATCAATCAGTCAATTTCAACTTCTTGCAGGAAAAAAAAAGATCTCGCAAAGTTGGAATTGATTGATTGAACTTTTTAGTCCCACCCAGTCTGCTGTTACCACCGCAGCCACACCCACCCAATGGGCCACACCTACCCAATGGGCCACGCCCACCCGGCACCCGACGATGCATAAGTGGGTTTTGGGTTGCAGTTTGGACACTCGGTCTCTAAAAGGTTTGCCATCACTGTTGTAGGCAGAGTTTGCCTGCAATGCTGCACTTTAACCACTGTGTCACCACATCTCCTATTCCCTCTTCAAAAGCCCATTTATCTAACCCAGTGGTTCTCAACCTTTCTAATGCCGCAACCCCATAATACAGTTTCCCATGTTGTGATGACCCCCAACCACTTATACATCACCGGGTGCCAGGGGCATGGCCAAAGAAAAGGGGGAAAAAATGGCGGACAGCCTTGCTTGGCGACCCCCGTGAAATGGTCGTTCGACCCCATATGGGGTCCCGACCCACAGGTTGAGAACCACTGATCTAACCCTACTTATTTTATTCTGGCCACAAGGGCCTCTTCCCATTCTGTACCTGGTAGCAGACAAAAAGGGGACAATATTTTTCCCCCTTCTTTTAACTACCCAAGCACACCCTGCACTCTTCATCCTGAAACCAAATGGTGTGTTTGCTCCTAGATCCTTAAATTAACCGAAGAACTGTATGGGAACAGCCTTGATATCCTGGAGCTGCTCCTTGGAGGGATGCTGGAAGAGGACGAGAGCCTTTTCCGAGCCATCATTGAGGACCAGTTTGTTCGCCTACGAGATGGAGACCGATTCTGGTTTGAAAACCCCAAGAATGGGTAAGACATCTTACCCAAACAACATTTGATTTCATGCTTGCATTTCTATCCTTCCTTTCTTTTCTCTGGGGATGTATGGTGAGATGTGTGGTTCTCCTTGTCTTCTTTTGATTCTCACACTGACTTGAAAAGACAGCTTGGGCTGGAAAACGGCGACTGATCCGAAACCCACCCAAAATATTTCATGTTTGAATGAGCATTTGAACTTCGGCCTCCCTGTTCTAATCTGGCATTCTAACCACAGCCTTACGATTGTGTTTATGCTTAATGCATTGAAGATCCCACTGAGTCTTATTCATCCCTTTCGTAGACTATTCACTTCTGAAGAGATTGTGACCATTAAGAACACAAGCCTCTATGATGTCCTTGCTGCTGTCATGTACACAAAAAATATCCCAGAAAACGTGTTCATTTTTAATGGTGGGTAACGGCTTATGTTCTTTGGAGGTGTGTGGGATGAGATAAGATAAGATAACCTTTATTGTCATTTTTTTTTTTACTGTGGGCACAACGGCACACATCAAAAATGAAATTTAGTTGCCCGCTCTCAAAGTAAAACACATACATGACACACACCTAAGCATACTATGTACAACATATGTATAGACCCCCACCCCTGCATATACATAACAAATAAATATTAAATACTGTCCATCTTGAATATATAACGGAAGGAGGAAGCTTGAGAGTTCACCAGGTTAATGCTGTATGGAATGAAACTGTGGCTGAATCTGGATGTTCTGCTTCGGATACCACGGAGCCCCCTCCTCCCAGAAAGGAACAAGGAAAACAGGTCGTGAAGAGGATGTGTGGTGTCCCAGATAATCAAGCAACGCTTCTGTGCTATGTCCTGGATGTGAGGGAGAGAGCTGCCAATGTTTTGTACTAAACTTCTTCACTGGTGTCCATTTCTATTCCTGATCAAAATGGTGTCATGAAGAAGTTCTATCTCTTCAATAGTATGAAGAGATGCAATATTGTACACCAGTATCCAAGGAACAGAGTTTCTATTATGAATCATAATTACGTTTCAGTCTTCCCCCTCCCCTTCTGCTACCACCGCTATGCATGCCTACGAGCAAATCCATTGTTTTTTACTCGTACTAGAAATATTAGAAGTCTTTCAACAAAGAGAAAGAAGACAAGCTGCATCTCAAACATTGAGTACCCGCAGTACACGTAGAAAATTCTGGATTCATTATCTAAAGCAGGGATGGGATGGAGGGAATGGACCTAAGAGTTTTGGACAAGGCACCAAACAATAATTTAGGATCAGACATATATATAAAACAACATTGTTTTTTATCAGACAGAACTTCACAGTGCACTCTTCTCCGTTTATTTTTTTCAATACTGGCAATTCATCTTTTGAATGCAGCCTTTCTATAGAAAAGGCTCACGTCACATCTGTAGCAATAGTCCTGGTTCCAAAATGTCAAGCAAAGGCAGGTGGATTGACATCCCACCCCTTTTACCTGTTTGCAAGGCACCTTAAGAGAAGTGGGGTGCTCATTACCTGTTTGCACCTGCTATTTTGATGCCAGTGACTGTCACTGTTTTGGATAGAACATACGGACAACTTAAGTTTTGTGTAGCATCCGGTTCAACAACACTCCTGTCCTGCCTTGCAAGTTTAATGTGTAAACATTTGTATAACATTCCTCTTGGTTCAAGAACAGTTTTATTAGCTCTGGTGTTGAGTGCCCAAATCTCCTCAGTTTGTTATTACAGCATGGCGAAATTTCCAGAGTTACAACATACCATCCTCAAGTCCAATGCTTGTTAATCCACCTGTGTGGCCATTAGAATTTTGAGAACAGGTCGTAAGTAGCCCTGGGGAGGTCCATCGTAATTCTGAGCGGTCGCTAAGCCGCCAGTTAATAAGCAAGGACCACTGCACGTGTGTAGAGCGTCTTAAGAAACTGTGCTGGAGGGAGGAGCCAAAGGAATTAAATTGAATGCATCTCCCTGTCTCATTACATTCTCCAGCCACAGATGATCCATGCCCCCAGCTCAGGCAGGTGCGCTTGCAGAGCCTCCCTTCCTGCAAACAGATGACCGTCATAGATTACTTCAAAGGAAGCGCTGCCGGTTTTGGAATCCTCATCGCTGCCCTGTGTTGCCTGCCTTTAGGTGGGTTCCAGTACAGGTTTGAAGTTTTCCTTTAGGTTCCAACGCAGGGCTTCAACGGTTGACGTGTCCTGGGAGTGAGATTGTTGAACACTGGAATCAAGCCTCTGTATAAGTGCAGGTAGCCCTCAGCTTACGGCCACAATGGATCCCGACAGTTTGATTGCTGAGTGAGACATTTCCTAAGTGACATTTGGCCCCATTTTACGACCTTTCTCACCTCCGTTGTTAAGCAAATCACTGCAGTTGATAAGCTAGTCACCCGGTTGTTAAGTGAATCCGGTTTCCCCATTCACTTTGCTTGTCAGAAAGTCACCAAAGGGGGTCTCGTGACCCCGGGGGACACTGCGACCGTCATAAATATGAACCCGTTGCCGAGCCCTCTGAATTTTGATCACCTGACCCTGGCGATGCTGGAAAGGTCGTTAACTGTGAAAAAGGGTCCTAAGTCAGTTCTTTTCAGTGCCGCTGTAAGTTTGAATGGTCACTAAAAGCACTGCTGTAAGTGGAGGACCATCTGTTCAATGTTTGATCGCTCACTTCCAGAAGAAAGAAAAACCAGTTATTCAGCCAGTCCATCAACCAGTTGGTGGAATAAAAGTTGGACCCCTAGTTAATTAGCCGATGCAGCCTGCGTCATTCTGAGAACTTTAAATGCTGTCTCTGAAGAAAGTAAAGACTGAGAGAACGAGAAGCAATGTGTATGGACTTGAAAACTTTGGCCAGTCCATAATTTTAGCCCCTTTGGGTTCCACTATGCCCTCTGCCTTTTAAGCTGACCGGGAAGAGGCTGTGGCACCAGAGTTGACTGAGATTGTCGTAGAATATGCAGGTAGCAGAACCATTGTCCAAAAACAGAGGTGGGGAATCTTGGCTCTTTTATGACTGGGAGTTGAAGTCCACAATTCATAAAAGAGCCAAGGTTCCCCACCCCTGTCCAAAGAGGTGGAGAAGTCTGTGATTGGTTATCTCAATAGCTTCGAAGGACACCAACTTGGAGAAAAGTAGCATGAAGTTATCAATGTCATGAGCTAAGAGGAAGAATTTGCTGGTTCCTAACAATCCTCAATGCTCAAGACTGGCATCTGTGAATGACTCTAGCTGTTGCAATATCAGCCAATGCTTTTCTTATGTTTTTGTCTTACAGTGAGCCTCTTCATTGCCTGGATTGTTGCTTTTTTCCGGAGGAGATCTTTCCGTAAATTACAGAAGAGGCAAAATCCCACCGCTCATCCAGATGTATCTGCTGAGGGAACTCAAGGTGAGAAGCAATTCTCCCAGAGTGTCCACTGCTCAAAGATTCCATTCAAACACAGTATGAATCATATGTCCAGTTCCTGGAGAATTTTTATCTTGATTGCTAATCAAAAACAACTGCACACTCTTGTGACCTATTCACTGGGGTTATATTATTGGGTTTACATTCCTGGAGATGGGAGAGTGATGGAAAAAAGTTATGAAAACTTGGTTAGACTGGTATAAATAGAGGCATTGACTTTAACAACCTAGGGGTCTTCAAAGACGATAGAAGGTTCACTGGGGAAGGAGACCTTGATTGTTAGAAAATGCAAGGCTAATACAGAGTCTTCTTCCCCCAGCGCTTGAATGGCATGGTTTCAAGACAGAAAGTTCACTTGTCTACATCCAACTGAAGGAAGACAAAGTGATCAAAGTGCTTGATGGTAAGCTGGCTGTGGTTCGCAGCATAACCCTGAGAAGCCAGCAGAAAGTGGAGACCATCATGTCCAACAACAGAGGCAACAGGACTATACTTCTGAAGATTCCTAAAGAATATGACCTGGTATGTAGCAAAAAGGATGATGGACAACTGTTTATGTTATGGTTTATACACTGGAAAGGTTCCCATCTTGCCTTTCTGTCTTCCAGGACTTCTCAACTCCCAGGAACCTTAGCAAAACTAAAAATAGCATCCAGGATTATTTCCATAAAACCCATAATTTTATGTCAGCTGTTTAACGGCAATAGGAATAAGTCTGGAAAAGCTATCCATGGTCCATGTCACCGTGGAGGAGACCCCGTTGTAAATAGCTAAGTCATTAAAGGAATCCCAAACATCTAAAGTATTCTGAATAGTTTAAGCAATGTCTTAAAGATTAAAAGATGAAAGAGCCGAATAGAACAAGGTTGCCTTTTAGGTGCTGGAGTCTTGGGTGATGTACAAGACAGCATCTTTGACTGTCTGAAGATTCTCTTCCTCACAGCTCTGAATGCCTCTTATCTCATCATTGTTCTTAGGTGCTGCTGTTTAAGGTAGAAGCAGAATGCAGGGACTTCCTCGGACTTCTGAAAACCTATTTGGAGAAAAATGAATTGTCTCTCCAAGTGTCCATGATGAGTGAACAGCACCTGCTGAAAAAGGCAGTAACCAAAGAGCAGAGAAAAGAAATTCTGGAAATTTTTTTCCGGCATTCATTCGCTCAGGTAAATGAGGAAGCTGTTCCTTCTCCTCCTCCTTCTCCTCCTCCTTCTCCTTCTCCTCTTCTTCCTCCTCTTCCTCCTCCTCCTCCTCCTCCTCCTCTTCTTCTTCTTCTTCTTCTTCTTCTTCTTCTTCTTCTTCTTCTTCTTCTTCTTCTTCTTCTTCTTCTTCTTCTTCTTCTTCTTCCACCTCCTCCTCCTTCTCCTCCTCTCCTCCTCCTCCTCTCCTCCTCCTCCTCCTCCTGCTCCCCCTTCCCTTTTCTCTTCCCCTATTTAACTTGTACCATCTTAAACAGTTGCTTTTTCTCTTATTCATTGGGAAACATGGCGTTCTATTGATTTTTCAGCTATTGGAACATTGCATACATATGTTGTTGAACAAGAAATAAAGTCAACTATCTAATGTTGCCAAACAATGATTTTATTACCAGTTAGAATGACTGAAATCTCGACCAAACCTGCTCTTGTAACTTAATGTTACATCATAGCAGCATGGTAGGGCTGCAAGTGCAAGAAATATCCTAGTTTTGTTTAGAGTGTCTTGTCTTTCTGATAAAAAGTGAGTGGACTTCCTTCCTGGTGGGAATGTGATCAGTGGTCTTACTCTTTTAGGTTCTAGACATTGACAGATTAAACGCTGGAGAACTCAGTTTGGAAACATCTCAAAAGGCCAAGGAAGCCTTAAAGTGTGAACTGAGCCGCGCAGAGTTTGCTGATGCACTGGGTCTCAAACCCCAATCTGTGTTTGTGGAGTCCATGTTCTCTCTCGCTGACAAAGATGGCAATGGGTATCTCTCCTTTCGGGAATTCCTGGAAATCTTGGTGGTTTTTATGAAAGGTGAGACTTGAGATTACTCAACTGTAAGGGATGGGAAAGAGCTAACCAGAGTCAAGATCTCAACAATCTGGCCCCAAGCTGTATGTGTTCATAGCTTATGCTTTACTAAATCAGCTTAATTTACAGCTCCATTTTTATGATCAGCTAAGCTTAATGTGTGTTACACAGGATTTCTGTTTTATTTTGAATGACTGTTTATTTTTTTTTATGGTTCAGTGTCTCGTGTAACCTGAGATTGATTCATTCGATAACCATGTCAGCCATGTTGTGTGAAGGCAGCCCTAATATTTGATACCCAACTGAATTATGTAGGTTGATATTATATCAGTTTATTCATCCATTGATGATGAAGAGGATGGAGGAAAATAGAGGTCTTTCCTTTCAGTTCCAGAAACAAACGAATGGGGTTAGTGAAAGGGGGCAGGACACTTTGCCATCTTCCTGAGAACCTAGAACAAGGACTGAAGGTAGATGCCACTATTATAGCAGAGTCCTGTAGTAGAGTCTTAATCTTGAGCCATGGGAAATGTGAAGATTGTGTTAGCTTTTCAGCCAACATGATAAGGTAATGAGATTTTATGGATATCCATCAGCACAATCCATGAACTTTTGAGTTGCTCCAACAATGTCTGTTCTATCTTATCCCCCACCTATTTTCTCACCACACTGATCATCTCAACACTCTTTCCTCCCATTCTGATTGTCCTAACAAGAACAAGAAACGGGCTTCAAGGATCTTTCCAAATTTGGGGGCAGGGGCTGAGTTGTGCTGATGAAGCATGGTCCTCTCTTTCTCTCTCAACCAGGATCCCCCCAGGAGAAGTCCAAGCTGATGTTTGCCATGTACGATATTGATGGAAACGGCTTCCTTTCAAAGGATGAATTCTTTCGGATGCTGAGGTATGTTCTGCTAGTTTGGGGTGTTGCTTTTGTTATCCTAACTGATTCTTGGTGGAGAGGTGCTGGAATTTCTGTTTGCTAGAATGGTGTATTGTACCTGTGGTCAGGTTCTTCATCTGAAATTCAGGCTGTATGCATCTTGGGGGACATTGCCACCAACCATAAAACACAATCTCACAACCCATAGCCCAGCATTTTGGAGGAGGTGAAGCTACGTGGAAAACAATCTCCTAGATTTGCAGAATAGGACTGATCTTATTGCAGACCAAGCTCAGCCAATGTTTCCACCCAACCCACAGTATTTGTACGCTTATCTGAGTCATGAGTGAAAATTAGTGTGCTATCAACCATGCTTCTTCAATTCAAGGAAGACCTTGCCGTAGACCAGGGGTGCTCAAACTTGGCCGCTTTAAGACTTGTGGACTTCAACTCCCAGAATTCCCCAGCCATTTGAAGTCCACAAGTCTTAAAGTGGCCAAGTCTGAGGACCCCTGCCGTAGACTCTTCAGTTACCCCATCAATCGTCTTATCTCAGCAAGGCTTATTTCCTCTTATCTCTTCCTCTAGATCCTTCATCGAGATCTCTAACAATTGCCTCTCACGGGATCAGACCGAGCAGGTTATCGAATCCTTGTTCAAAGAATCAGGATTCCAGGATAAGGAAGAGCTCACCTGGGAGGATTTTCACTACATGTTGCGGGATCATGACAATGCACTCCAGCGCACTCAACTGTGCATTAAAGGTCAGCAGAAACCAAAAGAGATAGCTCACACGAAGCCTTCCAGTTGGGTAGGAGCAAGGAAGCCATACTTTGGGCAGCAAACATCAGCAATAACAGGATCTCCAGATGTAGATGGTCCCGTTCTTATTATATTGCACATCTTTCTCTCTCTTTCTCTCATGGGTCATTATGTATGATGGAAGGGAATGAGGAAGTGGATCCCCAGGAGGGAGGGGTGCATTCCAGATAAATAAGAGCCAACTCAGCCCAGATATCATGTGTGAAAGAAAAAGGGTGGAGATGGCTCCTCCCTATTAGTCCCTAGAGCAGCGGTTCTCAACCTGTGGGTCGCGGCCCCTTTGAGGGTCGAACGACCCTTTCACAGGGGTCGCCTAAGACCATCAGAAAACACATATTTCCGATGGTCTTAGGAACCGAGACACCGCTCCTCTATCCGTCTCCGCACGGCTTCGAGCTGGGGGCCGTTGCAGCACCGGATTCGTTTCCGTCGAGCGTCTCCTAAGGGAGGCTGTGCTGCTTTGTGGCCCTGAGGAGGAGGGTGGAGAAGGCTGAACTAAGTTCTGCCGGTGCTGTTGCCCTCTTGTCTCTCTCTCTCCCTCTCTCTCTCTCTCTCTCTCTCTCCCCCTGGGCACTTCTCCAACCAGGCTGGGTGGAGCCGGCAGAGCGGCCTTCCTGCCCCCCCTCCCTGGCCAACTGGAGCCAGGCAGGCTGGCGACCTTCAGAAGTGAGGCGAGGACAGGCAAGGCACGCTGAGCCCTGGGCACGGTGGGTGAGTGGGTGGCGTCTGTGTGTGCTTGGAGAGCCCTTAGGGTTGGGGGTCACCACTACATGAGGAACTATATTAAGGGTCGCGGCATTAGGAAGATTGAGAACCTCTGCCCTAGAGCATATCGTAGAGGCAGATAGGAGAGTCTTCAGACTGGCAAGATTCTGTCTCTAGGTGTGGACCCATAAAGAACTCAGCTTGGAAGAATCTCCACACATTATTCTTGGTTTTGGACCTGAAACTATGGGAAAGAAACCAACAAAATGTCCACAAAGTCAATCAATATCTTTCTTTTCCGTTCTCTAACTCAGGGGTCCTCACCCTTGGCAACTTTAAGACTTGTGGACTTCAAGTGGCTGAGGAATTCTGGGAGTCGAAGTCCACAAGTCTTAAAGTTGCCAAGGTTGGAGACCCCTGCTCTAACTCTACTAAGTCCTTGGTGGTCATCAGTTGAACTTTGTTTTCTGTCCTCCTCCCAGGACTTCCAGAGAGACTCAAACTCAATGAAATCAATCGTGTGTCCTTCATTCACAAGGATCGAGATAACAAGTATGTCATCTCCCAGTTACTCACCTTCTTAGGCATGCTTTCCATGCAGATTGCCTAAGCCTGTGTGGATTTTAGATGTGACCCAGATCCCAGTTTGCCCCCACCACAAATCACAGTTTCTTTGCAAAGATTTGTGGACCATGCTCTACCCAATCTTTGTGATCATGAAGTAACCAGTAATGAAAAGGAAATAAATATTCATGCAGTGGGGATCAATATGTACTAATGAATACAGAAAACCACGCGGGCCAAATTAGACATTCGTTTTAAGACTTTTATATTGATCTGCTTGCAAAAAATAGATAACAAGCTGAACTGTACTAAGCAGAGGATGGGAAGATGGCATTAGCAGAAGTCTAAGTGTAAAAAAGTTTAAATACTTTTAGGAGTTCAAGCAGCATTTTAAGCATTGAAGAAGCTTGGAAGTTCCTATGTGGTAACCTTGAAAGTTTTTCAACTTTTTTAACAAATCCATCAAGTTTTTTCCCATTTTGTTGACATGCAACTAATTTGGAAAACCTCATGAAGAACCACTTGTGAAGTATTATGACGGTTATTTCCACATACAGAAATAGAATATCAGAAGGAAAGATTTAATAGCTTCATCTTTCTTCTGTAGGTTACGTTTCTTCCTAGAGAATAACATTTAAACTTAATGAACTCTGCTTTCAGCCAGCCCCATCATTGGGTTTCGAAAAATAGGTGGTTCAGGTAGATAATTGTGACATGCAAAGACAGGATTTAGAAATTTTCTGTTTTTCTTGCCAGAGAAGAGAAGAAGTACCTCAGATGCCAAAATACTTTGGCTGAGTTTGGATATTCTAGTTGGTGGATATGTGCCATAATTTTTAGATGACTTGATGTAACTTGAAATGACAGCATTCAAAACAGCTTACAGTAAATCAGATTATTAATGGGATACACAAAGTCCCAAATGCAAGGTGCTATAACAAGAGTAAAATTAATTATGTGTCATTGGGACTGACCCTACCTTTAAAATAATACAGAGAACGTTTTGGTGGAAAAAAACACATTCCTGCGAAAGGAGGTTTTTCCCACTGAAATGGAGACAGAAAGGTCATGTTTGTGCTCCACCCTTGAGATTGGGGGTTGACTGGAAGCCAACTCCATAGAAAATCTAAACCCAAAACTTCTGGAAAAAAAAGGATTGGCTGGCATTTTTCATCATGATTTTAGAGTTAAAGTATGGTCAAACCCTCAAGGCATCGTGCTCGCTTCCAACATTGTAGACGGAGGGGTCCTCTTCAAAAGCTGATGATCTGTTCCCTTATAGTTTCCTCCTAACTCGAGATAATCCTCTGATCCTGGGTTCAGACTGGCTACCTGGGGAAGGAACAGGACAAGACGTACGGAAAAGACAGGGCAAAAAGTAAGTATGTGCAATGTGTAATGGACCAAAGACACTCATTCTAAACTTGAACGATGAGCTGTCCATCTTAACCTTACCACCTTCACTGAACATAAAAGGCAGTGAAAATGGATCGAGTATGGGCCGGCAGCTCCAGTGAATTATTGGATCTTGTTAGGCACATAAAAATAGAAATGAAATAATTATCCGTGTAGAGTTTTGATTGGAATGGCACCATTTTGTTTTAAGCAGAAGCCATGCTGGATCGGATCCAAGATGTATAGGCTAATCTAGCATAAATATTTCTGGGAAAGTCAAGGGCAGATCACAGGTAATCCCACTTTTGGCTAATTCATCTCTGTTCCTGTAAAAGTATCTATACAAGGAGATGAGCAGTTATGTAGGAGGAATCATATTCATTAGGAATTGTGGCTAGGACTTGTAATTCATCATATTTATGAAGATCTGTGGGCATCACCCTTCGCTTGCTGCAAGTCATTTCATCCCCATAGCAGAACCAGCCACTTCAGAAGGAAACTGAGATAGAATCTACAAGGGACTCGGGAGTCTGGAGAGCTCCAAAATGTGTTGCCTAGTTAATCTCCATAATTCAACTCCAGTGTACACATTCAGAATTCAAACAACCGTCAGTTCCATAAAAGTGTAAACACCCTTCAACTAGTTATCTCTGCAGCTTACTCATGTACGTTTTATTGTTAAATTTATACACTACCCATTTCATTATCAAGTGACTCTGGGTACCAATGATGCCGATTATCGGCACCTGTCTGACTCAACCTTCATTATTTCCATTGTACACATGATAAATAACTCATTCTGTGGTTAATTTGTTTACTATGTGGTTAGTTTCCAGGCAACATAGCAAGAATAGGCTCTGAAACAAATCCAAACATCACTGTTGTCTTTTATAGCAGCAAAGTCCACAAGAGTGATGCCACCAGCATGACAGCAGTGGAAATACAGGCTTCAGGGATGGCCTTAGGAGGCTTAAATACCTCTAGATACTCCACCCCGGATTAAGAACCAGAGGTGTAGAATACTAGGGTAGAAACAACTGGGTTGTCTTCTCCAGACCAACTCAAGTTGCTATGGTGAAAAAAATATCAATGTAAAACAGAATAACAGAGTTGGAAGGGACCTTGAAGATCTTCTAATCCAACCCCCTGCTGAAGCAGGAGATCCTATACCATTCCAGACAAGTGGTTGTCCAATCTCTTCTTAAAAGCCTCCAGTGATGGAACACCCACAACTTCTGGAGGCAAGGAGCTCCACTGGCTAATTGCTCTAACTGTCAGGAAATTCCTCCTTAGTTCTAGGTTGGTCCTCTCCTTAGTTTCCATCCATCATTTCTTGTCCTGCCTTCAGATGCTTTAGAGAATAGGTTGACCCCCTCCTCTTCTTTGTGGCAGCCCCTCAATATTGGAAGACTGCTATCATGTCACCCCTAGTCCTTCTTTTCATTAAACTAGACATATCCAATTCCTGCTATCATTCTTCATATACCAGGAAAGCATTTATGGAAGGAAAACAAAACAAGTTGGTAAATCTTTAGGTTTTCCATGTGCTCAGAAATGCTCTTGTTCCCTTGCAAAGGTATCTCTGGGGGATCTTTTGAGATCAGGAGACTCTAACAAAAAGCGAAGTAGGTCCCCATTTGCCTGAAACTGGCTCACTCACTGAAATAGTGAGGAATTTGGGGGAGGGGGAATGTTGTCGAGCAGATTTTTCTTCCATGGTCTTCCGATCAAAATTTGCCCTACTGGCCAAGGTTTTCCTGACCTACGGTTTCCCATATTCCAGATTGGTTTTCCCAGAACCTCATCTGTACACAGAGGCACGGAGGGAGCGGTACGAGAGGAACAAAGTCCACCAGAAGATCCAGCAGTTCAAGAGGTTCATTGAGAACTTCAGGCGCCACATTATCTGCGTGGTGATATTCTCAGCCATCACCGCTGGCGTCTTTGTAGAAAGGGCATATTGTGAGTTACCAGCCTACTTAGCACCACCGAACCGGCTGCTCAGCTCAAGAGCTGGCGCAGCTAACTTGATTCAAAACCCAGCATCCTCATGCCGTGAGGAAGCAGAGACACCCGTCTCTGGGGCAGGCAGGCAGTGGCAGCCACCACTAAGCATACCACGTACGTATCTCCTTGCAGCACAGACTAACGCCGGTGTAAAGCAAGACACTCCCGCTGCAAGTAGAGCTGCATTAATGGTTAACAAGGGAAGTTTGTTGCCAAACTTCCTGGTATGGCTTTTATAGTGGCTGTTTTAATGATGCAAATCTTTAGGAGATGGGTCATAATTTTACTGGCAAAGCTGCGGTTGAACCCTCCAAGACCTGAGTATCCTCCTTGCAATCTTCCCGTAACCTAACCCCTCCCCCATTGGACACATAGGTAGAGATCTGGAGGGGAGCTCCAAATCTGTACACCCCACTATGTGCTCCCTAGAGTCTTGGATCCCTTTGGTCTTGCATTGCCATGCCACATATGGGGCATGCAAGCGTGTTTATCATCTGAGCATGTTGGAGGTGAGATGCAGTTATGGAATGGCAGATGTCCCTTGAGGCTGCAGACCTGTGTGTGGACTTCCTCCAAAACTTTGTCGTCCCAAAGTGTCTGCTGGATCTGCACCGATTCTTTGGGCAAGTTACCCCGTCTCCTTCTCTTGATTGAGCAGGCAGAAGAAGAGAGAATTGCAGGCAAAACTCACGGCATAAATTGGTCTTCATATTTTCTCTCCCCCAACAGGGATGTGCAAATAAGATTAATTAGAACAAATAATATTAATTAGAATAAATAATGCAGTTAAATCCTTGATATCATTGAAACATATTTTCATATTTTCTCTCCCCCAACAGGGATGTGTAAATAAGATTAATTAGAACAAATAAGATTAATTAGAACAAATAATGCAGTTAAATCCTTGATATCATTGAAACAATTGTCACATCTTTCTATTACATCCCTGTTGACGGAGAGAAAATATGAAGAACAATTTATGCCATGAGTTTTGCCTGCAATTCCATCTCTGCTGCCTGTTTCAGTGCAACATCCACCAGGAGCTGAAATCCACTGAAGTCCTGATTGAGATCTGGGGGAGTTGGAGGAGGAGTGTTGAAAAGCCCACTTTGTGCATTTGAACTAGGTCCCAACTTATCCTCGTGCAATAGGAGAGAGTATTGTATTGGATAGACATGGTGAACAGGGAAAAGTCCCGTCAATGCTGTCTTCTCCATTTAATTTCCCAATCTTTCAATTGAAACAGAAATAACATTGAATCCAACTGGGTTGTAACCTGCTCCCACTGACCTCTTTATTCTGAGTCTACCTCCTTTTTGGAGATGCCCTGGTCTCCAGCACACCACCGGAAGGACACAAACAAGGTCTCAGCCCAGAAAAAAAAAGGGGAGTAACCCAGTTATGAAAGGTTTTGTCACAATCTCATCCTTTGGGACTCGCTCAATCCATTCCCTTTGCAGATTATGGATTTGCATCGCCACCCACTGGCATTGCTGACACCACCTTTGTGGGCATCCTGATCTCTCGCGGGGCTGGCGCCAGCATCTCCTTCATGTACTCCTTCATCTTACTCACCATGTGCCGAAACCTCATCACGTTCTTGCGAGAAACCTTCTTCAATCGCTACATCCCTTTTGACTCTGCCGTGGATTTCCACCGATGGATCGCAACAGGAGCTTTGATCTTCTCAGGTAGATCTAAAGTTCCAGGGGTTCTCAACCTTGGCAACTTTAAGACTTGTGGACTTCAACTTTGCTGGTTGAGGAATTCTGGGAGTTGAAGTCCACAAGTCTTAAAGTTGCCAAGGTTGAGAACCCCTGATTTATAAACAGACTGAATCTTTGAGTAGCCAAACTAGAAGGTGGTGGTCCTTTAAAACAGTTTGTGGTACAAGCAGGCAACTAGATCTGACCTGGAACGAAACGTAAGTAATTGCTGAAATTAGGCACCCTATGCACTCTTTGAATAGCAAGTAGTCCTCAACTTACAAGCACGTTGGGACCAGAATTTCCACAGCTAAGTGGGTCACACCCAATTGTACAACATTTGTTGTCAAGGTTGTTATGCAAATCACTCCAGTTCTTAAGAGAACTACAATGCCGCAACCATGGAAAATACATTCCTGTTGCCAAGCATCTAGATTTTGATCACATAACCGTGATGATGCTGCAACAATCATAAGTCAAGGACTGAGCCTAAGTCTCTGGTTTCAGCATGGTTGTAACTCTGGATGGTTGCTAAACAAACAGTTGCAAGCCAAGGGCTACTCTTAGTTTTGTAAAGTCAGCGTAATGGAGGTGAAACTTTTAAAACAACCAACTCTAATTTCTCACCGCTGCAACTGCGTGACTTTCGACAATGCAGGGCCCAGTAAAAGTGCAAGGAAAATGATTGACAACAGTGATGGAAATCAACTCCAGAAAAATCTGGTTTTTCAATTTAGGGGATTTTCTAGCAATCCAAACTGAAAATGAACCATCTAACATTTCCTCTTGCCAATCAAAGTTGATTAGTCTTTACAAACTCACATCAAGGAAATTACAATTGTAATGTAAATACAAAAATAGGTGTGGGATATTTCTATTTTTTTAACATCCTGAACTTTGCACAGTTCATAGATGTATTTAACACCGTAGCTTGTGATCTGACTACTAAGTTACACTGCTATTTTATGTTTTCATTGTTAGGTGTGATTGCTTTTTATAGCTCCATATTGCCCATAGTTCCAAGACAGGAAATGTCTATATGGTAGTTAAAAGAGATTTGAAATTGCAATTAAAACTGGTGACACAGATACCTAACGTCACTGTCCTGTGTTTCCTACAGTTTTGCACACCTTGGGCCACATTGTGAATGTCTACATCTTTTCGGTGACCCCTCTCAGCATTCTGTCATGCCTTTTTTCTCACGTATTTACGAATGACGGGTGAGTAGAGAGTATCCCTCTATGAACATAAGAATGCAAAGAAAGCAGTTCCTTAACTCTTAAACTCCAGATGGCTAGAAAAAAAATGGAAGCTCTTAATTTTGTATTATTCAGAAACCCAGTGCACAACCAGCCAGCCAGCCAAGGAATTCTGGTAGCTGAAGTCCACCAGCTTTAAAGTTGCCAAGTTTGGAGACCCCTGGCTTAGCACAATGTATGAACCAGGTTACATTGTGGGTTGTTCTACTGAGAATTGCCCCTGTTTTGTTTTTCTTTCCAGATCACAATTTCCTCCCAAATACTACTGGTGGTTCTTTGAGACAGTACCAGGTAAAAATCAAATATCAAAGGCATTTGGTGACCAGACTGCAGTTAACATTTGGAGATAGATGAAGATCTAGGAAATAATGCAAGTGGGCTGGATTCCAATTATTCATGTCGTCTGGAGCTGATGAGGGCAGGAACTGAGTGTTTGATTTTTGTTTAGTACACTGAAGCTATTTTAGAGTTTACATTAGCCCTCCATTCAACCCAAAGTCACTTCTTTAGAACAGATCTGAGTGTGTCCTCAGATCAGTTCTGAAGAAGTGACTTTGGGTTGAATGGAACATTGGAACTTCTAGCATTGGCATCTATTAAAAACTGTGATTGTGTCATAACGATGACATAAAGAGCAGGGTATCATAGCCAAAATGATGCAGACGAAGTATTTGTGTCATTTGTGCAATGCTGTGTCATCACTTGACCTATATAGAAAACTTCAGGTTGTCCACTTCTGAAGTAGATGGAGATAATGGTGAAAGAAGACAACATAATGTGTTCCCTTACTTCAGTTGACGTTCCCTCTCTTCTCCTGGTCTTCTGCAGGCATGACCGGCGTGCTATTACTGGTCATCCTTGCGATCATGTATGTATTTGCCACTCATTATTTCCGACGAATCAGCTTTCAAGCATTCTGGATCACCCATCATCTCTATGTGGTTCTCTACATTCTGGTAAGTGATGGTTATGATAATTCTGAAACACGAATCGTCCACAGATGAAGGAAGATTCATACTATTCATATATACCAGGGCTCTCCAAACTTGACAACTTTAAGATTTACGAATTCAACTCCCAGAATTCCTGGCTGAGGAATTCTAGGAGTTGACGTCCACAAGCCTTAAAGTTGCCAAGTTTGGAGACCCCTGGTATATACTATCTCCATACCATGTATGAAGAGGGATAAGAGTTTAATGGTGAGGTTTTCTATACAAAAAGAGCATCATTTCCAGGTAGAGTTGAAAAAGAATTAAAACTGAAGGAGTTTTACTACTTGATTTGGGGGGGGGCACTACTGGTACAGCTCAATTTGAAGCAAGTTTATGAGATCCTGAGGACTTCCAACCTATCTTTAGATGCTTTTGCTCTTCGTAAGTTATCACAATCAGAGAAGAATTTTCCCTTCCCGTTGATTATCATGGACTAAAATGAGGTATAATATATTTCCAGGTGGTCATTCATGGTAGCTACGCTCTGATCCAACAGCCTCGCTTTCATATTTACTTCATTATCCCAGCACTCATCTATGTAACAGATAAACTCATCAGCCTTAGCAGAAAGAAGGTGGAAATCAATGTCATTAAGGCTGAGCTGCTCCCTTCAGGTAATGCTGCTGTCCTATACGGTCCTTCCTCCTCCATCCTACATCAAAGAGAGTATCTTCTACCTGAGTATCCTCCCAACATGTGGATTTCAACCTCCAGAATTCTTATCAATGGTCCTGCAGCCTGGGGGATTATGAAAGTTGAAGGTCATACATCTAAAGCATGTCCATTGAGTAAAGTTGATCTAAAGAGACTTGCTAAGACCTGTAGTCCACATATGGCCTGGAGAAGTATCTGGGTGGTCCAGCATGGTCTTTGCTGCTTGTTGCTTCTCAGTGATTACCCTCTAGTTTAGGTCTGTCTTATCTGTAATTTGCTTGTACACAGATCATTATGGATAGTATTGTTGGTTTGACCTTTCATAGCACATACTTTTTTTTAATTGATTCAGGGGTCACCAACCTGCAGTTCCAGAGACCCCAAGATTTTGACTATAGGTCTGGACAATGGGTACGGATTGCATGTTTGTCACTGGGGACCAACGAGTACCATCCTTTCACTCTGACATCTGCTCCTCATGAAGACCAGCTCAGTCTGCACATCCGAGCAGCTGGACCTTGGACAACTCGCCTGCGGGAACTCTACTCACAAGAAAGCATAGAAGAGATTGGCAAATATCCCAAGGTAAAACTGGATTTTGTTTTGCCTCACTTTTCTCCTAGTATAGATTTTAGTAGAGGACACAAATATGGCTGATCAACATCAACTACCACTTTTCTGATTCCAACATTGACATGGCTTTTCTTCTTACCACATCTGTAAATACTTAACAAATATGGAATCCTGTCCTTGCTGTACTCAGTGGAAACCATCTGGACTCCATTGTCCAAACCAATAAACTTCATCCTTTCCCCCTGTTTCTTTGTAGCTCTATCTTGATGGCCCATTTGGAGAGGGTCATCAGGAATGGAACAAATTTGAAGTGTCGGTCCTTGTGGGTGGTGGCATCGGAGTGACCCCGTTTGCCTCCATCCTTAAAGACCTTGTCTTCAAGTCTTCCGTTGGCTCCAGGATCCTGTGTAAGAAGGTGAGACTGGACGGACAGAGGTGTGGTTGGGCTGCTGTATACTCACTGCGATTGCGTCAGTGTTTGTATCAACATCAGATGGTAGACCTTCTCTAACGATGAACTGCATCACTTAAAACAGATAGTGGAGATGTAGACTTTGCTATAAGTACTTCATTTTACATTTCCTAGGGGAAAACTGGCTCATACATCTGAATTAAACTATTGTATTTCCAATTTTTTTTAATTCCAATTCTTTTGAAAAAAAATACAAAAAGAGTGTGTTTCTCAACCTTAAGAGACTTTGAGATGGTGGACTTAGATGATGTCCACTCATCTGAAAGCTGCCAAGATGGGGAATCATTATGTTAGAGGAAAGAGCACCCCCTAAAATAAGATTTAATGTTAAAACAATATGCAGAACCTACATCTGAGACAATTGTTTACAAATGTATACATTTTGGACAAGAGGATATACATAGAGGGGTATATTAGGAATGTGCATGGAAATGAGTATACGTTTTCATGGGATTTTAAAAAAAAATACAATTCACATTTTGATACATAACATGCTTATAAGCATTATAGGCTTTCAGCAATGATCATAGCCTTTTTCTTGGCCTTCCAAGATCTACTTCATTTGGGTAACCCGTACACAACGGCAGTTTGAGTGGGTGGCCGACATTATCCGTGAAGTGGAGGAGAACGATCAACGTGACTTGGTCTCCGTCCACATCTACATCACCCAGCTGGCTGAGAAGTTTGATTTGCGCACCACCATGCTAGTAAGTCCCCACATGAGATTTACTTGGGGCTCTATCTCTAAACCCCTTCAAGAAATAAAATTCAAGAAGTCAGGTTCTCATATATTAACCTGAAGTGTTATTAGCAAAAGTACAGAGATTGAGTTTTGTCCAAGAGCATCTACCAGTTCTTCAATGAGTCCAAAGGAATTGGGTATGCACAATTAAAAATTGTGCAATTAAGAAAAGAAGGTAGGATAAGGTTGGGAAAATCAGAAAGCCTCCAACTCATCTTGATCTTGAATATGACATGATTGAGTACCTTTAAACAAGCCATTCCCGGTCATCTTGGGTCTCCTTATTTTCAGTCTGGAACCAATGTTTCTGATCGTGTCTAGTTCTAGTTTCTAGTTTCTAGTCTAGTTCTAGTTTCTGAGTCTAGTTCCACAATGAGAATCAATAGCTTCATGGTGACTAGATTAGTGGTTGGTCCCTCAATGGAACAGAGGTTCCTTCTCCTCCAGATCCCCGACAGCCCTGTTCTAATGATCGGTTGATCTCTTTCTAGTACATCTGTGAACGTCACTTCCAAAAGGTCCTCAACCGGAGCTTGTTCACAGGCCTGCGTTCCATCACCCACTTTGGACGACCACCTTTCGTGCCCTTTTTCTGCTCCTTGCAAGAGGTTCATCCTGAGGTCAGTGACAAACTTTGCAGGGTGAGGAAGGAGGTGAAGACTGAACTTCTATGGATTCAGTGATGATCTGTTGCAGGCAGGAAGATGTTTGCCTAGATTATAGAGAATCTCAGCTATGTAGCTAAACTTCATAAGGAGCTTTCAAAGGTCCCATGTCCCATCTCAAATTATTTGACAGACATTGCAGAAAGGAATCTTCCCATCTCTTTATAATTAAAGACAGGCGAGAAATGTGATGGGAATTTTGGATAAATGTTGCCTTCTGCCAAGGCTGCTCATCCATGTTACTCCTCTAGAGCAGGGGTCCCCAACCTCCAATCCGTGAACCAGTACCGGGCTGCGGCATGCCAGCAACCGGTCCACACAAACAAGCAAAGTCCCATCCGTGGGATACAGGCAGCACACAAAACCACATACTCTCCTGTCCACAGAAAAACCTTTCTCCGCAGAACTGGTCCCTGGTGCTCAGAAGGTTGGGGACCTCTGCTCTAGTACACCGTTTTACAAACTTACCAACTTTAATGAGTAGACTTCAACTCCCAGAATTCCCCAACCATCATGTTGGCTGGGGAATTCTGGGACTTCAGCTGACGACTTGGGGATTCTGGGAGTTGAAGTCCATTTATATTAAAGTTGTGCCAAGTTTGAAAAACACTGCTCTAGAAGTTAGAACAAGGGGGAAATTTAATTATTTCCCTCACTGGTATTATTTTACTGTTTTATTTTGCATCTCTGTGATTCTGAGCTGGGTTTTTTGTTGTTGTTTTTTTGTTCTCAGGTCCGGAAAATTGGTGTTTTCAGCTGTGGCCCACCTGGCATGACCAAGAATGTGGAGAAAGCATGTCAGAAAATCAACAAGCGGGACCAAGCTCACTTTATACATCACTATGAGAATTTTTAGTCATTCTCTTTCTAAGACTCTGTTGCTCTGTGGTGAGGATAGAGTATAGAAGTCACCGTTGCCTGTGTTCCTTTCTTTCTGTCAGCTGGGAAGGAGGAGAAAAACAGCCTCATTTTCAACAAGGTCGTGGACGATATCTTGTAAATGTTTAGAAAGCCATACTTTTTGTCCTGTCAAGAACTTTAATTGAGGTCTCACGGTTGACAATGATAATCGAGAAGCCATCTTTGGCCAACCCCTGCAGTCTCAAGTCTGCACATCTTGGAAGAGTAGTCTGAACAACTACAAAAACAGAATGATATGATATCATTGACACTAAGGCAGCCCTTCCATTACAAGTGCAGACTGGTTCAGCATTAACAGGTGACTAAACACCCTAGATTACAGCTTTGTAGCACTCCCTGTCAATTATTTATTCAACATTCCTCAATCCACTCCAACAATTATAGTCCCTAAGTTGGACAGAGATGAGTTATTCTTCCCTTTAACCCAATTTAACCTCACTGTTTATCATGGTAAGCTTAAACAGTGTCTTGTACCTTGAGTTCTAGTAGCATGTTTGGACCTGTTGGATTTAACTTAGAGGGAACTCTGATTTTACAGGTGACATTGGCCACCATGAAGCAGCCATGATGGATAGATACTATAAACATAGAGTGGAAAATCCTATATAGAAGTATTTGTCTCTGGGGATCAGATGCTGGGTCAAATAAAGGTTACCCAGCATGCTGGGGAATTCCACGCGTTGAGGTCCACACATCTTAAAGTCTATGGTGATTCTCAGTCATCCGTCATGGTTGCCTCAAGGTGTTTTTCAAGAGGCAACTGTTTTTCTTTTAAGATGTTTCACTTCTTATCCCAGAGGTTTCTTTTGAAGAACTGAAGAAGCTTCTTGAATGAGAAGAAAAAGGTCTTCAAGGAAAAACAAAGAGAGTCCAGTTGCCTCTTGAAAAAGCTTCTTTGGCCCATCTTAAAGTGTTTGAGGTTGAGAAACACTACTCCAGAGGACTGTTTTTTCAACTCTGCAGCTTAACTCACACTCCTGGAATCATTTAATAGATTCCCATTCACGTACTAACCATGTTTAGCCCTGCTTAGATCAAAAGATACGGTAGATGTTTTCTTTTTTCTCTTCTACCTTTCCAAACAGTTCTTTTTGTGAAAGGAGGGGGAAAATGGGGAAGTTGCAAGTGTTGTTGTATCTGCACACTGTAAAATGTTGAGGAGGTAGTAGGCTTTATGCACTGAAGTTTAATGCAGACGCTAACTCAGAAAATGTAGCTACTAATATAGATTAGAACTTGACTGCTGTTGTGCTGTATCGCTGAAGGTGGTAGAAATCACAGCATCAGAGAATTCTTAATGGAGCAAACTCGTCATGGAGCAAGGTCTTGATGGAGTCTTTCAAAGCTTAGTTGATTCCTTCAAGATTTGTTTTATTCACTTTGGCTTAGCTGATGGAATACATTAAGTATATGTACGTTTGTACGCAGTGCTTATATTAAACAATTATTTCAACTGAAATGTATATTCTCTTGAATAATTTTTTTGTTAGTTTAACAATATACATTCCAAAAATCTCCATTTATTTTGTACAATCTACTAGTCTGTGTTTTTTTTTCATCTATTGGGAATGAATAAAAACTCTACTGGTTTTCCAAAGAGTCCTGGGGATCTGGTTCTTTGTCCAGCCCTTGGCAAACACATCTGCCAAGGTTGAGAAATGCTGGACTAGACTGAAGATTAAAAACTTCCAAGGGGATAATGATAATGCCACGTGCTGATATAAAAACTTAGTGGATGCGTTCTTGGAAATGACCAGGGGCTGAACCCCCCCCCCAACTATATCCTGAAATGTCATGCAAAGATACATATCTTTAATCCAGATTCAGCCAGAGTTTCATTCCATACAGCATTAACCTTGCGAACTCTCAAGCTTCCTCCTTCCATTATATATGCAAGATGGACAATATTTAATATTTATTTGCTACGTATATGTAGGGGTGTGGGTCTATACATATGTTGTTCATAGTATGTTTAGGTGTGTGTCGTGTATGTGTTTCACTTTGAGAGCAGGCAACTAAATTTCATTTTTGATGTGTGCCGTTGTGCCCACAGTATAAAAGTGACAATAAAGATTATCTTATCTTATCTAGTGGTTAAAGGCCTTGGCTAGACATGTTCTTCTCCTGGGCTGGAAAAAATCTAGGCTATCATACCACTCGTCCATTCTACCCAAAAGTAAGGAACACTCTCCAACATTAAGGTTTCAGAAGCCCTTATAAACAGAAGAAAACTGACACTAATGTCCCCTTCAACTCCACTGAAAATGTTACCTAGCTGGTAACGAAACATTCGGAAACCAACCCACAAGCTCAAAGAACAAAACTTCATCCTACACCCGAGCTACAGATATCACTACTATCGCAACTTTCCCACATTCTTCCTTTGAAACCTCATCAGACCAGCCTCAGCTTGAGCCTCCAAAGAAGAACCATCCTTAACTCCATTTGTTGAGGAAGGTATAGTTTACTAGAGGGCAAGTGAAATACAGTACAGGAGTGCAAAGCCAGAGCTGATATTCGCACACCAAAATGGCCAAGTCTAACTTTCCTTCCCTTCGGTACCTCCCCATGGTGGCTCGCCCAATATCCAATTAAATTCAAAGGAGATGTTTTCAGAATGGTCGTTTCAAAAAGAGATTGGACATTCACCTGTCTGAGACAGTATAGGTTCTCCTGCTTGAGCAGGGGGCTGGACTAGAAGACCTCCAAGGTCCCTTCCAGCTCTATTCTATTCTATTCTATTCTATTCTATTCTAAAATCTGTCTATTCTACTCTACTCTACTCTATTCTATTCTACAATCTGTCTATTCTATTCCATTCCATTCCATTCTATTCTATTCTATTCTATTCTACAATCTGTCTATTCTATTCTATTCTACTCTGCTCTATTCTATTTTACAATCTGTCTATTCTATTCTACAATCTGTCTACTCTACTCTACTCTACTCTATTCTGTTCTATTCTATTCTATTCTACAATCTGTCTATTCTATTCTACAATCTGTCTACTCTACTCTACTCTACTCTATTCTGTTCTATTCTATTCTATTCTACAATCTGTCTATTCTATTCTACTATCTGTTACTCTACTCTATTCTATTCTATTCTATTCTATTCTATTCTATTCTACAATCTGTCTATTCTATTCTATTCTATTCTATTTATTCTATTCTATTTATTCTATTCTACTCTATTCTATTCTATTCTATATTCTATTCTACAATCTGTCTATTCTATTCTACAATCTGTCTATTCTACTCTACTCTATTCTACTCTACTCTATTCTATTCTATTCTACAATCTGTCTACTCTACTCTACTCTACTCTATTCTATTCTACAATCTGTCTACTCTATTCTACTCTACTCTACTCTACTCTACTCTACTCTACTCTACTCTACTCTACTCTACTCTACTCTACTCTATTCTATTCTATTCTATTCTATTCTGTTCTATTCTATTCTAAAGTATGCATTGTATTCCATTCCCAGCCAGTTCACCTTGAAACCACGTCTCAGGAAGATGCAGTAAACTTTTCATTTTCCCTGAATGCTCCCCCCTCCCATCCAGCCCGCTTAGAGTTCATGGCACTGAGTGACAGCAAAAGGCAAGCTTGAAGTGGCAGCTGACACTTTGGGAGCTTTGGTCAATTCCCCCTTGAGCTGGTCTCTTCCCTGGCAAAGACACCTGCCTTATCCCTCCTCTGGGCTCTTGCTCAAGGCAGCTGCCCTCTCTTCAGCTAATGCCAACTTTGCTGACTCTGGAAAAGTCACCTCATAAGCCTGGAGGCTCTTTGCAGGAAGACAAAGCTATAATTATTGTCTAGACAACGCAGCTCTTGGTTCAGAGCAACTCGCGGTTGAGCTGCTTCTCCTGAGCTCTGCAGAAAGACAGCAGATCAGTTCCCGATAATCCTTTCGAATCCACAAGGGGAGGGGAGGGGTAGAGGACTGAGAAGGGGCTGTTGGGTACTTTCACACACAGGATTTGCAACTTGGCTTGTCATCCGAAGATGGAACTTGTAGATCTCTTCCACTTTGAATTATAGTAAAAAAGAGGCAGATCCACAACGATAGCACACCCTGGAAACTGGAGTGTGGAATCACAACTGAAAGAAATCCCACAATCCTGCTCTTCTCTTTGGAGAATGGGGCAATTCTTACAAACTGGTTGCATAGGACTGGATCTGGATTCACACACACTTGTGAAGAGATCTGGTCTGGGGTAAAGACAAGACTTGCAAAATTTGGAATAAAAATAAAATCTTCGGCAGTACGTTCATTTTTACTGCAGCAATTCTTCCTAGTATTGACAACTGCAGATTTTCCCATCTTTCCAAGTCTAGCTTTATTTGTTTCAATAATTTTGTATAATTGTCTTCTTTTATTGACGAACAAACTAACAATGTCAACCTCATATAAAGAAAACTTGTATAAAATGTTTTATAGATGGCACTTGCCACCAGCAAGATTAGCAAAAATGTTTAAAAATATGTCAGATAGATGCTGGAAATGTAAACATAATATAGGCATGTACTACCATATCTGGTGGTCATGTGGCAAAGCTAAGGCTTATTGGAGAAAGATACATACGTAGTTAGAAAAAATATTAGGTGAACATGTTGATTTTAAACCTGAACTTTTTTTACTAGGTATAATGCCTGAAAAGATTAATAAGCAGAGTTTATATTTAATTTTACACATCACTACAGCAGCGAGAATAATCTTCGCACAACACTGGAAGAATGAAGAATTGCCATCAGAAGAAGAAATAATCAGGAAAATATTGGAATGTGCAGAGATGGACAGATTAACTATGAGACTGAAAGATAAAGAAGACACAGACTATTATCAAATTTGGGATTTATTTTACCGCTGGTTAGAGGAAAGAATGAAGGATTAGGAATTGAATATGTATTAGCATAGCTAATCCCAGACAACTCATTGATTGGAAAAATTAACATATGTATACAAAAGAAAACCAATAAAATCTTTATTAAAAAAAGACTTGCAAAATTTGGGAGAATTTGGGGGGGGCTCGTTCAGAAAGGAGTTCGAAACATTCTAAAATTCATCCCCTGGTCACTGTTTCTCCATAAAGCCAAATATGTCCTTCCTGTATTTAAGTTTTATTTAGGTTTATATTTGCATTGTGGTTCTATAAATGAACTCCTACCAACTTCATGCAAATGCTTTTTAGTATGTGAGCTTTTCCCTCTTTTTTGCTAAAATGTATACGACACAACCTACGTCAACTTGAGTCGTAGATAAGAGGCTTGTAATGGTATGTGGGAAAGATCTTGTTCCCCAACCAGGAAGAAATTCTAATGTTTGGCTGAACTGTCTGATGCCAGGAGGATGGATGGATGGATATATGGTTGGATGGATTAATATAATGGTTGGAAGGATATGATTGATGAATGAATCAATGGATGGATCAATGGATGGATGGATCAATAGATGGATGGATGGATGGATCAATGGATGGATGGATATGATGGTTGGATGGATGAATATAATGGTTGGATATGATTGATGGATAGATCAATGGATGGATGGATGGATGGATATGATGGTTGGATGAATAAATACAATGGTAGGATGGATATTATTGATGGATGAATCAATGGATGGATCAATAGATGGATGGATGGATGGATCAATGGATGGATGGATATAATGGTTGGATGGATGAATATAATGGTTGGATATGATTGATGAATGGATCAATGGATGGATGGATGGATGGATATGATGGTTGGATGAATAGATATAATGGTAGGATGGATATAATTGATGGATGAATCAATGGATGGATCAATGGATGGATAGATCAATAGATGGATGGATGGATGGATCAATGGATGGATGGACAAGAAAGATAGAAAATTTATCTTTTGCCTTTCCCTGGCAAAGACAGCTAAGAACAAAATACATACCAGAATCAGATAAAAGGAATTGATTAAGTCCTCATTCAACACCATTAAAGCAACTTAGAAGGCCAACAAAACTGCCTCCTGAGGGGTCCATTGGGAAGCAGCACCAGCTCTAGCTTGGTGTAGATACTCAAGTAGGTGAAGCATAAATGATTTGGGCCAGCACACGGGCCTGCTCCATATCATCACCCAACATGTCTTTGAGGGTCTGTTTAGCGTGTCAAGGACATACAGTCCCCCCATCCCTTTTTCTCTTTTTTTCATCAGCATGAATCAGTATCAGGGTTTAGGCAGCTTCTGGTGTTCAACATTCTTCAACTGAGTTGGGATGTTTTTGATAGCAATCTGGCACATAAAATGTTCTTAAAATTAGCTGTGAGGTAAATGCCCTGAGATTCAAATGCAATGCAATGCAATGCTTCCCCGTGATGTTAATATTTACTACAGCAGAAAAGATTTGCATATAGAGAGTGGTTATTAATAGCCTCGTTCACATTTCTACATAAATCACGGGTCCTGTGACATTTATTGAGAGGATATTGATTCTTACTTATCACAGAAAAAACAGCAAATAGGGCTTGGTTTATTTACCCTGTCTCAAGCAAAGCATTTACAATGAAGTTTCTCAGAGTATATAACCGACTGCCCAACCCAATAAATTCATATCTATGTTTGGCAAACCTCATGATGTGATTGATCTGGATAAACTCCCTTACAGGAGTTTCCTTTTTTCAGAAAAGTGAATCACAAGGCTTTTTTCTTTTAAAAGTTGTTTTCCTTTTAGAAAGTTGAAAGTATTTGACCCAAAGACCGGAGTCCAGTTAGCCCACTTTGCCTCAGAAGATGCTAACTACAGTTGCTGGTGTAGTAGTGGGAGATCTGTGGATCAGGAGATCACTAAACCCTGGAATCCAATATTGCCCAGTGTTGGGAAGAGCGTTTGTGATGTTCTCAAAATATCAAAAGTGGATTTGTTGCTAAGCAAGACAGTTGTTAAGAGAGCTTTGCCCCATTTCTTGCCACAGTTGTGAAGTGAAATGCTGCAGTTGTTAAGTTAGTAACCCAGCTGTGAAGTAATCCAGCTTCCCCGTTGACTTTAGTTGTCAGAAGTTCGCAAAAAGGGATTACATCATTCCGGAACACTGCAACCGTCATAAATAGGAGCCAGTTGCCAAGTGCTTGAATCCTGATTACATGACCACAGGGATGCCACAACAGCTCTAAGTGTGAAAAATGGTCATAAGTCAGTTTTTCAGTGCTGGTTATAAATCGAGGAATACATGTACACAGAATGTTGGGTTGAGAGTTGAATCGTGTTTGCATCAATTGCTGTGTATGCTTTGACACACCTCATACCTCAATCTCCCGAGAGAAAAATCTGAACACTCAGAAAAACAAACCCACTCCTGTTCCATAACACAGAGGACGTGGTTTTTTTAAGGCTTCTTAACGAAAGCTGAACAGAGAACTGAACAAAGCTGTCTGCTGATTTGCTAGATTCCTAAGCCGCTTGTATAAACTACCACTTATTTTCTGAGCCTCACAGTTCCCCAGCCATCTGAGAGACGTGTGCAAAGTTTAAAAAAAACAAGTCTCCCCTAATAATGTCTGCCACCTAGTAGTGTGATAAACCACAACAAAGTATCGCAGATTTGTGAGCAAGTTTAGCCCTTTTTTCCCCTATAATGTTATATATAAAACAAGACAGAAAAACAAAGGGCATAAACAATTGTGCTCAAATTTGCCCTCTCCGATATTGCAAAATGGATCCCTGGCGAGGGACAGCAGGCACCGTGAGTAATAACCTTGTGTTGGAACGATGACATCTAAAGAGCGTTTGTGGGTTCCAGCCCTTGGTGGGAAGGCACATATCCCTCTAGGGCAAATAACAACAGTAGTAAAGGAAACATTTATTCATTCATTCGTCAGATCATTTATTCACAACCTAATCCTCTGGGTTCAAATCCACCCTAGGCACGGAAGTTTCCTGGTGACCTCAGGCCAGACTTTCCCTGGAAATTAGAAGCTCTTGGGGACACCCACCATGCTGTGCCAAGTTGCAAGCTGGTTTCACAATTCTGCAAGCGTGGAATTTCCCGTTTGCATTTTTAAAGCCCTTGTTGCATCTTATTCTTTAAGGAAAGTCAACAAGGAAGTTGGTGGCTTTACAAGAAATTGTCAAAGTCCAGCACTGAAGTAACTCTAGACAAATGTGGGGGAGGATCCCTTCAAGACCTAGCAATGGAATGAGATGGGCCCTGAGGCCTCCATGTTATCTTGCTGGGCTAGATTTTTCAACAACTGCAACCGCAACAGCAACAAAGAAGCATCGCCTTGAACCCAACCCCATTATTTCTTTTCAGGGCCAGGATTCTGCTCAGAACTTTAGCAAAACAAAACTAGGAATTCTCTTCACTACCGAGGAACTTCAAATGTTGACCTTGCAAATGTAGCCAAGATTCCAGCATTTCCTTAGAGCAGTGTTTCCCAGTTTTGACCACCTGAAAAGACATGAAGTTGGCATTAAATCCACACATCTTCACTAAAGAATGTAGGTTTTTGCCAAGATTTTAGTATTTTAGAACAGTGGATCATGAACTTGCCCTCTGAAACTTGTGTGAAGATGGCATTAAAGTCCACACATCTTCACTAAAGAATGTCGGGTTTTGCCAAGATTCTAGCATTTCTTTAGAACAGTGGTTCCTGAACTTGGCCTCTTAAAGATGTGTGAAATTGGCATTGAAGTTCACCCATTGTCAAGGGCCAAGATTTGGAAGCACTGCCTTAGACACTCAAAACCAGACCGAGGCTCAACCTAGATCAAAGAGGATTTTAATTGCAGATTAAGGCTCTAAAAATGATTAAACCAAGCACTTAAATATAGACAAGAAGTGAAATACTAATCGACATAGGTCCAGAATGGGGGGGGGGGTTGTCAACCTGCAAATTATGTGGCTCATTTCCCAGCTGGAATAGTGTCATTCAGCAGGCTTCAAGTTCTCTATTCCTGTTACAGATGCCACCCAAAAAAAGGATGATGTGATTCAGACATGCCTCTCTCCCCCCATGCCTCAGTTGGGGTTTAGAAACCTCAATTACTAGAAGCTCTTATAAACACTTCTTCCTTCCCTGCTAAATAAATTTGCAAGTACAAAATATATATATGCCTTATATATGTCTAGTTTAATAATAATAATAATAATAGTAAAGTTGGAAGGGACCTTGGAGGTCATCTAGTCCAACCCCCTGCTCGGGCAGGAAACCCTACACCATTTCGGACAAAATATCTCAGGGGCTGCCACAAAGAAGAGGGGGGTCATCCTATTTTCCAAAGCAGCTGAAGGCAGGATGAGAAGCAACTGATGGAAACTAATCAAGGAGAGAAGCAACCTAGAACTAAGGAGAAACTTCCTGACAGTGAGAACAATTAATCAGTGGAACAATCTGCCTCCAGAAGTGGTGAATGCTCCAACACTGGAAGTTTTTAAGAAGAGACTGGACAGCCATTTGTCTGAAATGGTGTAGGGTTTCCTGCCTGAGCAGTGGGTTGGACTAGAAGATCTCCAAAGTCCCTTCCAACTATGTTATTCTGTTATTCTTATTAAGGAACTTATTCTATAATACTAAGCACTCTTCATTGGAATAAATAGGAATCTTGTGACCAAATAAATATGCAGCAGTGTATATTTTATAGAAGCTTGACTATCAGGAGGGAAACATACTCGGAAATACTGAACCGTTGCTTTTAAATGTTTAGATTAGAACACTGACTATCTGCAAACACTGCTGAAATTGTGATTATTGCCAGCAGGACCATCCCACCACCCTTACACAGAGGCAAACAGTGCCTCAAACGACAAAGACCAAAATATGAAAATAAAGTGGGTAGAAAAAAAGCATTTTATTTCCTTGGAATTTCAAACACCTTAGAATTAGCTGGAGAGGAACCGACCCATGAAAGACATTTCAACAGACTTTAACAGAAGCTTCTTTCTTCTTTTATTTGCTCAGGCAACATAATTTTTAATGAGAAAGAACAAACTTGGCATGCCAGGGCCTTGTTAGCGAAAGTTCTCCTTGGGGTTACCATATTAGCTGAGCAGGAACTCCAAATTAAATTTCTTCACCTGGGCCACTTGCCTACATGCCACAAGGGGATATGGCTTTGTGTCTTTGTGGCATGTGTCTACAACTCACAAGGGGGCATGGCTTTACAAGGAAGTGGTTCTTGTTCTATCTAACAGTAAGGGGTAAAGGTATCCCTGTGAGTTACAAAACCAGGATGTTCAAGTACAATGTATGTATTTGCAGAGAACTGAGCATGGGAGTAACCAGGATACTCTTTCCACATACATACACAAATATACATCCATAAAGCAGTTAGGGCTAAAAGAAGTGTAGTAATTACATTGTTCAAGGAACTAGTGGTAACTAATAACCTATGACCTCCAGATTCTTCAGGAGATATGGAGGTAGGACGGAACTGTGACAGGTTTCCAGCATCACTTAAAAATATATGGGAAGGAAGGAAGGAAGGAAAGAAGGAAGGAAGGAAGGAAGGAAGGAAGGAAGGAAGGAAGGAAGGAAGGAAGGAAGGAAGGAAGGAAGGAAGGAAGGAAGGAAGGAAGGAAGGAAGGAAGGAAGGAAGGAAGGAAGGAAGGAAGGAAGGATTTCTTAGGATGGAATGGAGATTTGACAGTCCTACTGTCTATGCCGTTCTACCTCATTCACACGTTAGACGATCTTACAAGATTACAGTCAAACCACCCAACAGATATCTGTATGTACCCATGTCTGCATGTGAACTGGTCTAGAACATCATACTAACTCCTGCAGGAGCTTCTTAACTGATGCAAAGAGTGGATGTAGGACTATTGCTTCAAATTTTGAGGGGTCCACACACATCCATGTTTACTAAAAGCAAATGCTAAGTTGGAACCTTCCATCGTGACGTCTCACGTACGAAGTCCTGCCCTAAACCTGATGCCTTTCAGATGCAGAGAGGTGCGCTGTGCAGAAAATTGGACATGGAGACCTAACTTTACAGTTCTGCACTGGGTCCCATTACACATTTCACTTCTAGTGACAGAGGTCATTTAATTCATCTGACTTCAAAGTCTATGTTTAGGTTCAAGAGAATCAAGTTTCCAAACAATTTGCATAACATTTGTTTCCTTGACAAAGCTCTACATTAAATTTCAGGCTTTGATTGGCTTTGTTTACATTTTCTTCTCCATGGACTTAATCCTCCCTAATAGGAAAGTTAGAATGGAATGCAATGCCTTTTTTTTCTTTTTTTTTTTTTAGGGATTCTGGTCATGAGGGTCACATTTTAGCATGATTTTTATCCCAATCCCTTTCTTGGTTGCCTCAAATGCTTCTGTTGCCTTTTCCAAAGGGAAACGGTGAGTCACCAGGGGCTGCACGTTTATTTTTTTCGATGCAAGCATCGCAATTGCCATGGGCCACCTGCAAAGAAAGCAGAAGACAAAGGGGAAGTAGAGACACCCAGATTTTTGAACGGCTGATGGTGGCAAGGATTTATATTGAGAGACAGATTTCCAACACCTATGAAAGATCAGAGATGCCTGAACTTCGAGGCATTGTTTACCTTAAAGAATCTTTATTCGAGAAGCGTAACATTGCCACTGCATAATTGAAGTCAAAAACTGAATTCCCCTCCCTGGGCACATAGTATCAAAGCACAATTTCCTCCTCCAATTGACAGTCATAAATCACATTCCCCAATTAGCTTGAAGCACGGGCTTTCTCCCCAGCTGTCCGGCCTGCCAATTCTTTATTAGCTCTAAGCTCAGTAACCTTGATTCTCACGCTAAGTTCAGTGTTGTTATGTCTAGCTGAACTCTCATTCGCATCCCCCAGCATCCTCCCAGCATCATCTAACTCTAAAAGCGAAAGGGGAGAATGGCTATATTTTTATCTGATGTCAATGCAAAAACATACCCATTTCCAGCAACCGTTAGTTATATGTTTTAGCCTCCAGTCCCCTAATCATCTTTGTTGCTTTTCTCTGTACTCTTTCTAGAGTCTCAGCATCTTTTTTACATCGTGGTGATCAAAACTGGATACAGTATTCCAAGTGTGGCCTTACCAAGGCATTGTAAAGCGGTATTAACACTTCACGTGATCTTGATTCTACCCGTCTGTTAATGCAGCCTAGCACTGTGTTGGCCTTTTTGGCAGCTGCAGCACACGGCTGGCTCATATTTAAGTGATGGTCCACTAGGACTCCGAGGTCCCTCTCACAGTTACTACTATTGAGCAAGGAACCCCCTATACTATACCTGTACATTTGTTTTTTCTTGCCTAAATGTAGAACCTTACTTTTTTCACCACTGAATTTCATTTTGTTAGATAGTGCCCAGTGTTCAAGTCTGCCCAGATCCTCCTGTATCTTAAGCCTGTCTTCTGGAGTGTTGGCTATTCCTGCCAGCTTGGTGTCGTCTGCAAAGTTGACGAATTCCCCATCTATCCCCTTGTGCAAATCATTGATGAAGATGTAGAAGAGCACTGGGCCCAGAACAGAGCCCTGGGGCACTCCACTACACACTTCCCTCCATGTAGATGCAGTTCCATTGAAGACCACACGCTGAGTACGGCCGGATCCATCTGGCGGTGTTGCTGTCTAACCCACATTTTTCTATCTTATCAAGTAGTAGATTGTGATCTACTTTATCAAATGCCTGACTGATGTTATGTTCAAACTATTAGATGTTTGTACAATAGTGCTCAGGTTAAGCACCAAATGTTCTGTACTGAAATTATCTATATTGTACAATATTTTCTATCCATTTCAAACCTGCCCACACCCTCTTGATAAAAGCAATGCAGAATGTGTACTGTATTTCTTTAGCTACACAATTTTTTTTGGACGACAAAATAAAATAGCAGCTACACCACGTTGTTTGAAAACCTATTTTTCTTCCTTAGAGTGCACAACGGTGAACTTATGAGATTTCAACAGTTGTCTGGGACTGACATTTTGTTATATTTTAATTTTTTAAAAAAAGTTGGCAAAGTCTTACAACATTCCATGGTCACAGTTCCTGATTCGGTGTCCAAGATCAATAAAATATCATTTCCCCTTCCCCCCCCCACTATGAGGAAAACAAATCACTATTTGCTCCTCTAGACTCATGACGGATACTTACGTATTGCAGTATCTAAATATCCCACGGATGTCCACCTCACGCACCGCTGCATTCACAATGGGCAAGGTGACCATTTCTGGGCCCAGACCCACCAAAACCAGAGTCCCACCAGAACGGGTGGCCTGAAAAGAAACAAGGAGAACCATATCCATGTCCAACTTCTCCAGAAGTCAACATGCCAGGACTGTCTTTCCCTCTACCATAGCAGAGTTGGAACCCTATACCATTTCAGACAAATGGTTATCCAGTCTCCTTAAAAGCTTCCAGTATTAGAGGAGGGAGGGAAAGAGGGAGGGAGGGAGGGAGGGAGGAAGGAAGGAAGGAAGGAAGGAAGGAAGGAAGGAAGGAAGGAAGGAAGGAAGGAAGGAAGGAAGGAAGGAAGGAAGGAAAACAGAATAACAGAGTTGGAAGGGATCTTGGAGGTCATCTAGTCCAACCCCCTGCTCTGGCAGGAAGCCCTATACCATTTCAGACAAATGGTTATCCAGTCTCTTCTTAAAAACCCATTTTTTAAAGTTTACCATTCTCTCAACATGATCTAGAATTTCTCTCAGTCTCTCCTCCTCAACTGCCCACAGTTGAGAGAGACTGACGATTACTCTTTGATGCACCTTTAAGCTATGAAACACTCACATAGATTCCAGTCTGGATGCAGGATTCTGCCCCAGTGCACTCCAAGGTAATGTCAGGCATACAACCCAACAAGCTTTCCACCATACTGGCCAGCTCCTCAGGGTTCTGCCCTTTGACCTGGATGGTGAAATCAGCCCCAATTTCTGTAGCTTTCTCAAGTCGGGGAGCTGACAAATCTACAGGCAAAGAAAGCAAAAATTCATAGCAATAATAAACACAAAAGCACCAGGAGACAATAGGTTAATTTAATTATGATCTGAGCGGAGTGATGTCTGGCCTACATAATGGACTACGTCATACTGCATTTGGGGGGAAGGGGGACAGCAGAGTTTCATACTCCCTATCTGTAAGGACCCACCCCACTTTGCATCTTAAGAAGACAGAACTCTTGGAATAATTCTTCCAACAGGCATCCTTTATTAAGAGAAAATGGTTGCAGGCATTCTAGACAGGACTTGGGGTCCAAGCTCTCCCATTCAAGGTTTTAAGGGGTTCCCCAGTAGCCCCACCCAATCACCCCCTTCTTCCAGCGACAGTCTCAGGCATTACACTCCCACCCCCTTTTCCTTACTGCCGGCTGGATGGAGACCAGAGAAAACTACATGAAAGGTAATAGCCCCATTGTTATGGTGAGTCCTTTTGGACTCACATCCAGTTCCTTTGAAGTATACCAAAGGAAGTGAGGGCCATAAAGCCCCTTTGTTCACCCCCTTCCCTTCATCGTATGACAGAATCCATAGAAGGCAGAAATGGGGTTTACTATAATTGATAACTAGAGATAAAATATAATTGGATTCTGACACTATCTCTGTCTGTTTCTGCAATACACCACTTATGGGACATCTCATGAAGCCCTTGAGCCAACAGAACTTGATCTACATAAACTACATAACAATCCATGGAAAAGATCTTTAAATGACCCTTGTTAATTTAGCATGATTTCTGGCAGCAGTTCCTTTGTTAGTCTTTAAGGCGCTGCAAATTCTTTGCTCTCTCAAGACATTTCATCATTTTAAAGAATAGACTCTATCCTGCTGATTAATCGTTCCTACCTTGGATACATCTGAGATTTGAACCAATGTCAGATGCCACTGTACTTCTTGCATTCCAAGCTATTCTATTTACCCTCCTTTTTCTACATACTCTAATGTGAGTAGCAATCAAGCCCATCGACAAATGGACTTTTATCCAGGGCTACACAACATTTTCAGAGCACCTGCTGTCCTGAGTCTGATTAATGAGGCTCCAGAAGTAAAACAAAGGTTAAACGCAGTTTCATTTATATTTAGACTGAATTAAAAGCAAGTCCCATCTCTTGACAGTCAAACATTATTGTTGTCCTCATTTGTTCAATTGCTATAGCCTTCTATCGTATTAAAAATTATGGTTTCAGTGCTATTTTTGATAATATCCTCAGGACCCAAAATTTTGGGGAGCCAGGTTCAGCCAAAGCCTCAACCCTGCAGTAGTTCATAAGCTAGGATAAGTTGGATATGTACTGTAGAAGAATTTTAGGGGTCCTCTTTAAAGAGTGCTAACCAAAAGCACTTTCCCAAGGTAACTGAAAATGTCAGCTCTGCCATGAAAACATTTAGGAGGCCAAGAAATGCTGAAGGTGGGAGAAGACCTTGGAAGGCTAGCAGAGTTCAGGAAAAGCAAAACAAATTAATTCCCCATGCTGGCTGGGGAATTCTGGGAGTTGAAGTCCATCCATCCTAAAATTGCCAAGGTTGGAAACACTGCCGTATCGTGTACAGCAGTACCAACATGTTGCTTTCCCTCAATCAACTGGAAGTGGATTTATGATGGAGAATCCATGAAGTGCCTCCAAGAGAACAATATAATAGGCTCTACTGGTTTATATTTGGATAAGACGTCCATCAAGAAATCTCTAAGTGATTATTTTGATTGGGAAGCCAAAAGCACATCCCAGAAGATGAGAAGAAGATTCTACAGATGTGTCTATGAACTCACCAAGAGCCACACTAGGCTTACATTGAACAGTCATTCTTCATGATTGATGCAAAAGACACCACTAACATTCAAAAGAAAAAAAAACTTGGTGCATGCTAGAGTTGCCTCGTGTCTTGAATAATTATTTCTTCCTTTGTCCCTTTTAACAGCTCTGTATTTACCCAGGCGACACTAGTCCTTTATGTCATGCAAACGTGTAAAGCTGAACTGCAAACACACCAAAAAATAAGACATCTAGATTGTAAATTGGTCTTACCGCTAATCACCACTTGCGCGGCTCCCATCGCCTTAGCAATGAGTAAAGTCACGAGCCCAATGGGTCCTAAGAAGACAGAGGGATGGGGAACATCAAAGTGAAGTCTGGTTATTTATTGCACAGAGTTTGATGGCCAACAGACACTTCTAAGGAACGTCTTTCTTTTTTAAACAATAAAAGCACATTATAAAAAGAGCACTGATGGGAAACAGTAAAAGCACCATAGTCAACGTGATTTTGCTTTAAAAAAGCAGCAACAGGGTCACCAGAAGAACTTTTTGAGGAGAGAAATTTGGATGCCACATCCAAAGTGGTCTCCAAATCAGTTATGAAGATGATGGAGGTGATTTTCATGTCCGGGAAGAAGCATCCATTGGGACAAATATAATACACCAGGTTTAGAAAAATCAAAGAAATCCCAAAGTCTTTCCATACCAGCACCACAAATGAAGACTTTGGTACCCAGTGTCACCTCAGCTCTTCTACAGGCATGAATGGCAACTGAAAGAGGTTCAACAAGAGCTCCTTCCTCAAAGGTGACATTATCTGGAAGTCTGCAAAGAGACCAAATAAACCGGAGAACTTCCATTAGTGTGTGTAAAGTAGAACCCAGAGTCTCCATATCTCCAAACATCTAAACCATAAAACATTAAAAGACTACAAACAATGGCTTAACACAAATTAAGCACAAACCCAAGATGCTAAAGTTACTTGTTACCTAGCTAGCTAATTGTCACTCCTTGAAACTGTCATCTGGACTATAGATATCTGGGGAATGTATGTCTCATCATGTCTAAACAGAGCAGCTGGGCCTTCTGGGTCCTTCTGTCCCAACCCATGGAAAGAACATGTAAGGAAAGTTTGATCCAGTTTGATCATTTATTTCAGGCGTTTCCAAACCTGGAAACTCTTTAAGACTTGTGGACTTCAACTCCCAGAATTCACTGTGGAATTCTGAGAGTTGAAGTCCACGAGTCTTAAAGTTGCCAAGTTTGGAGACCCTTGATCTAGATAGTTCATAAAAATGTTGAATAATACTGACTCCAAAACATATCCCTATTGGGCCCTCTGTGTTTGTGTGTGCGAAATATATATTCTACTTTAGGCTCCTTTGGGACCCTTGATTTATTTTAATCTTTCAGTGTTATCCAATACCTTTTAATTTTTTAATTTTTCATCTCCCCCCCCTTAATTTTAATTGTTTTAGGGCCTTTTAACTTTTAACTTTTTTATTATATAGTAAGCCATCCAGTGTCACCACATTAAAATCCTGACACAGAAATTTAATAAGTGAATAAAAATAAATGAATATTTCCCCCCCTCTTAGGTAAGCATGTCAAGGGCCATTGGGCCATAGGGTGACCGTCCTTCCTCCTGCAACTGATTTGCAGTAATTAGAGGTTCAGTAACCTCTTCTGAAAAAGGATGAATTTCAGGCCAACCGTTTAATCCTTCTGGAACTGACATATACAATTACTTCTTCAAAACTCTCAGCCACAAGAGATTCTGCAAACAAATGGTGTGTAGTAAGACTGTTACTTCCTTTATTTCAAAGCTCCGGTTAATCTTACTGGCATTATCATGCTTTTAGATCAGCCAGTCCTAACTGCCTGCGGGCGTTGCTGTTGTATGCATACGAGTTCTGCTATTTTAAGAGGAGTCTTAATCTTTAGTTCAGATTCCAGGGTCTGAAAACTGTTCCTTGGAAAACATAAAAAGAAAATAGGGAACGCAGCCCTGTTGGCAACTCCCAATCTCTTAACTACTGATGGAGAAAGTTCTGTTTACTTGCCACAGGACTTTGAAGCCCAGAAAGTAAAGTTCTAGACAATATTGGAGAGAGAGAAAAAGCATTCGATGAATTACTAAAATATACAAAGAATTAAAAAATGATCCAACATTCAAAAAAAAATACTTAAAAATTATGACAACATTCAAGGAATTATTAAGAACTGCAGAGGGAAAAGGTTAGCGGTGGAAAAGGGATATGTAATCATATTCTCTTGCTGCCTCTTGCAGAATTACAAAAATGGATTTTTGAAAAGAGTTTGTTTGTTTCTTCATTACCAATCTCTCTGTTAGATCTGAAAGTTATCCATACATGTTATCCCAAGCATCAGACCAGAAGACTGAGTTAGCTCTACTGGTTGGTTGCTTGTGGACAGAATTATTTCCATGAACTCAAACACGAATGTTGGTTTTTAATGGTTAGCTTTAATTGTTGTACACTGCCCAGGGTCATTCCTGTGTGATGTACAGTGGTGGGATTCAAATATGTGAACAATTGGTTCTCTGTGTGGATGCCGCTTCCAGAAGTCTATTCTAGGAATGGGCAACAAAAAATAAGCTACCGGTTCAGCCGAATTGGTGCGAACCGGCTGAATCCCACCACTGGTGATGTAGCACCCGTATAAATCATTTCAATAAATAAATATTTGTAATCATTTTTAAGTTCTCCATCCACAATTAAACGAGCATTTTACTTTCTCTGTTAGTTAATCCCTAAATTCTACAGCCTGCTGGTTTTGAGCACTGAACACTTTAGAAATACGCACACAAAACTATCGTGTGATTAAATTGTTTTTTTTTTCTTTTCAGACCACTGTAATGACCCAGAAAAAAAACAGCAATTGGAGCAGAAAACTGGAATAGTGCTTTGTCTATCCATTAAGGAAAGGAAAGGCTGTGATAAAACATTTGCTTTGCTTGTAAAGATCTCAGAGTCAGTGCCTGATACTGGGCTGGTTCTGAATGTTCAGATTCTCAGTTTATATACCATTGTGTTGTAATTTGGGTTTCGAATTTAATTATGGGGTTGAGATTTTGTCTGTTCGTAACCCGAGTTCCCCGTTTAGGGAATTGCCCATTGCACAAAGTCGATTAAGCCCAGAACTGACAGGTCAGTGTTTCAGATTGCTTAGCCGCATGACATGCTCCCCCCAAAACATTGCAACTAACTTGTAGCAAAAGTTGGCATCGTGCTTGTAATATCGACACAGGTTCCCATCATCAGGAGGGGTTGCACAGAAGAAAAGAGTCGGAGATAGATTGTAACGTCCAATTTTGCAGAATTCGTCTATTTCTCGGGGGACACCAGGCTCAACAGCTACTCGATCACCTGCAAGAGATGTAAGAAGGTGAGAAAGAAGGAAACAAATGACCCATTACAGAGATTTGTGTATCTAGGGGATCATTCACACATTTAACTGTGAATGGTCCCCTAGATACTGCGAAGTATTAATATTAAATATTTATCACCTGAAAGCTGATGAAACCCGAAAAACCTCAAAGCATTTCTTATAATCATTAGAGCAGCCCAGTCATATTACAGACTTTCAAGCTGAGGTAAGAATCAAATGACAAGAATGAGCTACTCAGAAGAGGATGAGATATAATTTAGAAAACATCTGGATTTACTCTTCTCCTGGGCCCCACAAAACCATGCAGTTCTAGCATTAAGTTCCCATCAATTCCAACCTGACAAGGCAGATCTTTGAAGATCACTGCTGTTCTTCTGAGAAGATCTATCACATTTTACACGAAGGACTTTAGGAGACAGATAGAAGGATGGATCTACTGCACTAATGAAAGAGAGGGTGGATCTAAAAGCAGTATATAAAGATTTCTACAAATCGTGGTTGCCCAACTTTTTTTTAAGTCAAAGGCCAAATAATACTTTGTGGGTTGGTTTGGAAGTTTAGGGACAGAGGGAGGGATTGTAGAGAAAGGGACAAGAGAGAATCGGGTACAGTCACCACAGAAAATAAATAAATAAATCTGCCCAAAATAAGACCATTGTTTTTCTTGATTCCACTATTTTTTTTCAAATGATTTTATTTGTCCCAAATCAGAAGCAATTAAGAAGGGAGCCGGAAGACCCTACCTCCAGCTGTTTGTACATGCTGATCAATCTTTACTCATCAGATACTAAGACGGAAGGGAACAGCTTCAGCTCACCTTTCTTTAACTTGGTCACCGAAGACCCTACTTTAACAACGGTTCCTGAAGCTTCGTGCCCCAGCACCATTGGAGACTTCACCACAAAATTCCCAATTCGTCCATGTTGCCAGTAGTGCACATCAGACCCACAGATTCCCACAGAGTGCATTTTCAAAAGCACTTCTGTTACAAAAGAGATAAATCAGAGAGTGAAATCGCCTTCAAGAACCCTTATTACTTACAATGTAAAGAGGGGCAGATTTTTCAAGAGCAGCAGAAATGTGGTTAATTAGTTCATCTAAATCCCTTTAAGTAGAAATGGATCCATACACGGCTATGATTAAAATCAACTCAGAGCAGCTGAGATGCCCTGTTTAGATAAACAAGATTAAAAATTGCAGAGCTAAAAACCCAAATAACCACACAGGTAGTCCTTGACTTATAACCATTGTGGAGCCTACAAAAACTATCATACAATCTGGTCACGTGACCATGAGACCTTGCAGCCGTAAATTCAGTTGCGTTGCCAAGCACTGGAAGTTCGGTCACACGGCAGGGGGGGGGAGGTGTCCAACCATCAGAACTTCAAATCCAGGTCATAAGTAGACCCAAGAAAGTCAGGTGTAATGTTGAACGGTTTGCTAAGCGACCAGTTGCAAATCAAGGACTTCCTATATCGTGGGAAACACTGGAATCAAAGATCAAGAAAACTCGGCTTTCGTTAATTTTCAGATTGTGGTAGCGAACAATACGCCCAAGGCTTTTTTTGTCATAGAACGCCCAGAACAGAGTTCCGGCACCTTTTTTGGATGGAACCTTATAGGGTAGGCAAGGTGTGTTGTATGACATGTGTTGAGTTCCAGCACCTTTTTTTTTTTTTTACAAAAAAAGCACTGAGTACGCCATTATGCTTTCCCCAAAGTCCTGTTGAAAGCACCAGGTTTTGACAGCCTTCTGGAGACCCAACTGGGTTGGGATCATCCAAATCTCAAAGGTCTATTGAAAGAATGAGTCTGGATCCAATCCAGTTCCAAGAAAACAGCAAAAGGGTGTCATATTTACAAAGATATCTCAATATTTCTAATGCATTAAGAGCCGAGGTGACGCAGCAGTTAGAGTGCAGTACTGCAGGCCACTTTAGCTGACTGTGTTCAGCAGGTCAGCGGTTCAAATCTCACCGGCTCAAGGTTGACTCAGCCTTCCATCCTTCCGGGGTAGGTAAAATGAGGACCCAGATTGTTGGGGGCAATGTAAATATATATATATACATTGCTTACTGGTGTACACCGCTTAGAGAGTGCTTGCACTTAAAGCGGTATATAAGTCTCATAAATAAATAAATAATAAATGGTTGGCTTTCCTTGTCCCTAGTCTTGCATGAGATTGACAGAACATTTCAGAGACAGAATTATCAGACATAACCTAGATATTTTTTGACTCAGGTTACCTATCAAGTTATGCCCTGAAATCCACCTGTGTCCTATTTCTTCCAGAACTGTTGAGTCAAACAGTGGGGCAACTCCAATTTCCCGGACACTGATTCATGGTGGGCATACAGGCATAATCAAGGAAATTGGAAAGCCCATCATGTAAAAGAGTCACACTAGAACATGGTTTTGCAATACCTGTACCAGTACTAATAACTTCAGGCCATGCTTTGTCGGCTCACACCGAGGCAAGCTGCTAGACTCCGCCAGGCAAGTGGTTTCCCAGCTGAACTTTTCATCCGGTTCACTGGTGTCCACAGCTTGGGCAATTTTATCACAATGATATAAGAAACACTGTGTAGGGTTGAAGACATGAGATGACCCTGATGGAGATATGGAGGTGCTGTTGCCTGGGCAAAAGGGGCTAAAGCATTGTTTAAGTGCAAAACATCCAAGTAACATCTGGAAGCAGCTCAGACATCTGTCTAACTGACTAATCACTTCTAGTCGTGGACTAGAAGGGGGAGGAGTTTCAAGATTTTGTTGTTACTTTCTTCTTCTTCTTCTTCTTCTTCTTCTTCTTCTTCTTCTTCTTCTTCTTCTTCTTCTTCTTCTTCTTCTTCTTCTGTCACTTGTCTGAAATGGTATAGGTTCTCCTACTTGAGCAGGGGGCTGGACTAGAAGACCTCCAAGGTCCCTTCCAGCTCTATTCTATTCTATTCTATTCTATTCTATTCTATTCTATTGTAGTCTAGTCTGGTCTGGTCTGGTCTGGTCTGGTCTGGTCTACTCTAGTCTACTCTAGTCTAGTCTAGTCTAGTCTTCTCCTCATCTCCCTCTTTTACCACTTTGGGTATGAAAGCAGATACAAAGTTCTACTTCTTGCATTTCTGGCAGCCTCAACCATAATTATTTGATGCTGTCATAGCGTGACTTTCATGTTTTCTCTTCATCTTCTTCTGTCCCATGTCCTCTGACCTTCTCTTTTTGTATATGCCTTATGTGGTATAGACTCCCAAGACATTCTTACCACTAAAGGAGAATATTTGTAATTCAGGGCTGAAATGAGGGCTCCTTGGTGCTCTCTGAGCTTGGTTGTTTTCCTGCAGGCGTTTCGTTACTAGCGCTGATGAGGCTACCTAGTTTGGGTAATGAAAAATTTGCAAACAGAAAACCAAGCTGAGGAAAACCCTCAAATGCTTCATATTTTTTTACATTTCACTGAATAATATTTACCTTACAGAATGCATAGTAAATAAACCAGGGTGAAGATAAAAATCTGGCAAATAAATGAGACCGGTTTAGTAACAACCGTTCCCTGGAACTCCACCTTCCACCATCCAGACCTATTGGGCACCTCCCTTCAACACGCCCGTTGACCAAACCAGCTGAGAATGAAATGCCGCTATTCCAAAAAGTGAACATCCCAATTTACCATTAGGACCAGGTTCAGGAATCGGTCGGTTTTCCTGAAAGAAACAAAAAAAGAAAAAAAATTAGGGAAGATTTGGTTTTCCATGAAACTTTAATGCTGCTTACACCAAGATTAAATCAGCTAGCTTGTCCTGGAAATTCCTTGCCAATTCAAGGATCAAGTTATGAAGAATTTGCTTCTTGTTCTACAATTAAACAAGCTGCTTACCAGCAACGCACTTGGAAAAACTAGTTACGGTACTAGTACAAACTGAACATATTAGTTTGTACGCGTGTGTTCAGATTTTAATTTAATAATTTAATATATAAGGAACGGTTGCTAGAATTGGGTATGTCTAGTTTAACGAAGAGAAGGACAAGGGGGGACATGATAGCAGTATTCCAATATCTCAGGGGCTGCCATAAAGAAGAAGGAATCAAGCTATTTTCCAAAGCCCCTGAAGGCAGGACAAGAAGCAACAGGTGGAAACTAATCAAGGAGAGAAGCAACCTAGAACTAAGGAGAAACTTCCTGACAGTGAGAACAATTAATCAGTGGAACAGTCTGCCTCCAGAAGCAGTAAATGCTCCAACACTGGAAGATTTTAAGAAGAGACTGGACAGCCACTTGTCCGAAATGGTGTAGGGTTTCCTGTCAGAGCAGGGGGTTGGACTAGATGACCTCCAAGGTCCCTTCCAACTTTACTACTATTACTATTACACTTGTTTGGACATAAAAGGGCTTGCTTTCCTAATTTTTTTTCTCTTTCGTATTAAAATTAAAAAGCATCGATAGAATTGCTGGTGTGCACAAAGGTTAAATCGGAAAAGTAATCCCATAGAGGATTTATGAGTATGCAATTACAAATAGAGAGCCAAATTGGTGTCCTAGTTAAGAGAGACTGTGAGTTCTAGTCCTGCCTTAGGCACAAAGCCGGTTGGATGGCCTTGGGCCAGTCGTTTTCTCTCCGCCCTAGGAAAAAGGCAACGACAAACTACTTCTGAAAAAACCTTGCCAGGAAAACTGCAAGGACTTGCCCAAGCAGTGTTGAGAATGTGGCACGATTGAATGGGGGAAAAATAAATGCAAACAAGACAGAATAATAGATTAACAGAGTTGGAAGGGATCCTGGAGATCTTTTAGTAGTCCAACCCCCTGCTTAAGCAGGAGACTTGTACCATTTCAGACAAATGGCTGTCTAATCTCAAAAGCCTCCAGTGTTGGAACACCCACAACTTCTAGAGGCAAATTGTTCCACAGATTAATTGTCCTCACTGTCAGGAAATTTCTCCTTAGTTCTAGCT